GTCACTTTCCTGTAGACCGAGTGGCTCATTGAACGAGCAGGTCTCCTTTTAATTAAGACATCCAAAAAGGGTAGCTTGCCTTCTTTTTCGACCTCCATGGTAAATCTGATGGCTGGGTGTATGGAGTTGATGTGATCGAGGAATTGGTCTAGAGCAGGTAAGCCATGTGGCCAGATAACAAAGGTGTCATCTACGTACCTCTTCCATAAAACAGGTCTGGCGTAGAGTGGCAGTCTGGATGGCGTTTCAAATTTTTCCATGAACACGTTGGCTACAACTGGAGATAGGGGGGAGCCCATTGGGGTGCCATCAGTCTGTTTGTAGAAAGTTCCATTCCAGGTGAAGTATGTGTTGGTTAAACAATGTCTCACAAGGTGGGTACCTCCGTATGCAGTCCTTGATGAACCAGGTCTTCAATGATTGCGATGGTGTCAGGTTCCAGAACTTTGGTGAATAAGGACACCACGTCAAAACTGACAAGCAGGTCGTCTGGGGACAGGGAAATGCCCTTGATTGTCGATACCAGGTAAGTAGAATTTAGTACCGCAGAGGTGGTTTTTCCAGTGAAAGGTCGCAGTATATCAGCCAGAAAACGCGCCAGTTTGTAGGTGGGGGAGTTGATAGTGGAGACAATGGGACAAAGGGGTGTATCTTCTTTGTGTATCTTTGGAAGGCCATATAATCTTGGTGGTCTGGCAGCAGAGGGTTTCAACTGTTTGGTCTGATCAATTAATGCTGTTGAATCAGAGATGATTTTGTTCATTTTGGTAACCAGGCTGTTGGTGGGATCTCTTTTTATTTTTGTATAGCTGCCATCGTTGAGTAGTTCTTGAATTTTGTTGTTATATTCTATTTTGTCCATGATGACAGTGGCATTGCCCTTGTCGGCTGAGAGGATGACAATGTCATCTCTCTTTTTTTAGATAATTCAAAGCTCTCATCTTTGCTGATGTTACTAGGTGGCATCTTAGCATATGTAGGTATCCCCCCCCCCTTGTGAGACATTGCTTAACCAACACATACTTCACCTGGAATGGAACGTTCTACAAACAGACTGATGGCACCTGAATGGGCTCCCCCCTATCTCCAGTTGTAGCCAACGAGTTCATGGAAAAAATTTAAACTGACGCCATCCAGACTGCCACTCTACGACCGACCTTATGGAAGAGGTACGTAGATGACACCTTTGTTATCTGGCCACATGGCTTACCTGCTCTAGACCAATTCCTCGACCACATAAACTCCCACCCTGGACACTCTCTGTTTCAGCTACTCCCCTCCGGCAGAAGGCTTCGGTCCATCAGGACCAAAACCTCACGCCATAAAAACAGTTTCTTCCCATCTGCTGCTGGCCTGTTAAACAAGGCCAAGGGCTAACACTGTTTTTAACATTTGATCTACATAACGACACCTTGCCGATATTAACTATGTTACCCTATTTGTATTTTTTATTTTTAAATTATATCTTAAAGCTATTTAATATTCGATATTTATTTAATTTTATATACTTCAGCCCCTTGGTGTTAGACTTTTAACCCTTATTATAGTAAGACTTGTTTAAAACTTATTTAAGATTTTAGATTCCTATATGTTGAATGTATGCACCATCCTGCCAAAGTAAATTCCGTGTCGGTGTGAACTTACATGGCGAATAAAACCCTTTCTGATTCTGATCAGATTTACCATGGAGGTCGAAAAAGAAGGCAAGCTACCCTTATTGGATGTCTTAATGAAAGGAGACCTGATGGTTCAATGAGCCACTCGGTCTACAGGAAAGCGACCCATACGGATGCTTACTTAAAACCGGATTCCCACCACCATCCATCCCAGAGAGAACTCCCTTATCAAGACTCTATACCACAGAGCCCAAAGCATTTCCGACCAGGATCACATTGCCAGTGAACTCAAACACGTACACCAAGCTCTCAAGGCTAATGGTTACTCCAACTACACAATCCGCAAAGCCATCACTCCAGTCATGAAGAAGGATCCTCTTGAGGAACCATTCAAAACCATCACCTTACCCTACATTGCGGGGGTCACAAAAAAGATCTCCAATATCCCGAATAAACACAAGATCCAGGTCCGATTCAACACAGTACATAAAAGCCGTGATCTGGTTCCATCTGTAAAAGATGCTGTTCCAGACATACAGTACCCGGGCGTTTACAAACTAAAGTGCCTCTGTGGTAGCAGCTACATTGGAGAAACCAAATGACATATCTCGGACCGCATCCGCGAACATAAAGCAGACTTGAAACACGGTAGGACGAACTCCTCTGCCGTGGCAGATCACTGTTATAATTCAGTGGGCTCACATGACATTGACTTCTCCAAGACGGAGGTTCTTTGCAAACCAAGCGGCTACCATGAGAGATTCGTTCATGAGGCCTCCACATATACAAGCACAGAGACAATTTCAACCGAGAAGATGGATTCTGGCTTAGTAACCATTGGAAAGATGTTTTAAACCATTTCCGTTTTAATTTATTGTATTTTACGGTGACTTTCAGACCACAGCATTTTCGATGACACTGCCTCTTAATGCTTCTCACACCACGGTCAATGGTATGGATTGTAACATGTAGTTAAATAATTAATAGTATAACATTGTAATATTTAATATAACTCATAAGGCAATACATAGCATCGTAATTGCATAGTGAATATACAGCAGTGTGGTATATAGTTGGGTTCACATAATAAGACAGTGTAATATCACAAGTCAAATAGTTTATAATCTAAAGTATAGGGTATTGTAAAGTAACGCATTGTATAATTCAAAGGTGGAATTTGTCTATGATATGATGTTATACTATGTAGTTTAGATTGGAAGATATACTATTTTATTGTATAGCAGTCCAGTTTATAGCATAGTCATGAAGCTGCTCAGGATACAACAGCGCACCTTGCTTTACCTGCTCACTTTTATTTATTCCTCTCTGCCTATGTTCCCCCCCCTTCCCCCCCCCCCCTCTTCGGTGTAGTTGCATTTGATGCTGATGACATTCGGGCTCTGACTCCGCCCACACAGCTTGATAGGCGCGTTCTTTGCATTCCTCTCTGCCTGTGTTCCCAGCCCCGCCCTCCCTCCCCCCGCTTGGGAGGTGATGCTGGTGACGTACAGACTCGTGTTTTAACTCCGCCCACACAGCTTAATAAACGCGGTCCATACATGACAGCGTCCATTCGAGCTCTGTCTTCTGCACAGACCTGTCTCTTCACCTGAAGAAGGCAACTTGTGTTGTGGCCGAAACGTCGTGATAATTTGTCTTATTTTGTTTTATTGTTTGATTCTCATTCTACGTGACTTTACCGAAAGAACCAAGAAGATTACTCCTTGCATTCACGAAAGCTTTAAATCGAAATCATTAGACCTCCTTTGCCAGTACCAAAATATAATAATAGGGTTTTTCCCCTTTTTTCTGGCAACAAAACTGAAACCTTTTTACAAGGATTCATGTCTGCATTAACCACAATACCTGCAGTCAAAATGCAAACAAAAAACACACTATGATAATATATGCATTGTTCTTGAAACTGATTGGTCCACACCAAGGGACAGCTTTCTTTCGAGCCTAGACCCAATTGGTGCTCGACCAGATGACGCCAAAAGGCGTACAGCTCAAAGACAATGCACTATCAAAGTAATGAGGGCTCGGGGTGAGCATCTACATCATTAGACCTCCTTTGCCAGTACCAAAATATAATAATAGGGTTTTTACCCTTTTTTCTGGCAACAAAACTGAAACCTTTTTACAAGGATTCATGTCTGCATTAACCACAATACCTGCAGTCAAAATGCAAACAAAAAACACACTGATAATATATGCATTGCCCTTGAAACTGATTGGTCCACACAAAGGGACAGCTTTCTTTTGAGCCTCGACCCAATTGGTGCTCGACCAGATGACGCCAAAAGGCGTACAGCTCAAAGACAATGCACATTAATCCTTGTAAAAAGGTTTCAGTTTTGTTGCCAGAAAAAAGGGGAAAAACCCTATTGTTATATTTTGGTACTGGCAAAGGAGGTCTAATGATGTACATGCTCACCCCGAGCCCTCATTACTTTGATAGTGCATTGTCTTTGAGCTGTACGCCTTTTGGCGTCATCTGGTCGAGCACCAATTGGGTCGAGGCTCAAAAGAAAGCTGTCGCTTGGTGTGGACCAATCTGTTTCAAGGACAATGCATATATTATCATAGTGTGTTTTTTGTTTGCATTTTGACTGCAGGTATTGTGGTTAATGCAGACATGAATCCTAGTAAAAAGGTTTCAGTTTTGTTGCCAGAAAAAAGGGGAAAAACCCTATGATTATTGAGAAATACTGCTAAAGAGTCAGCATGTACTACTGTAGTGATAGCAGGTACCACCAGAGTCGGTATGCACTGCTGTAATCATAGCAGGTACCACCGCAGTCAGTATGCACTGCTGTAATCATAGCAGGTACCACCACAGTTGGTATGCACTTCTGTAATCATGGCAGGTACCACCACAGTCAGTACGCACTGCTGTTAGATTTTTAAGAGTAGTTTTGAAATATTTTTAAAACCCGGGCAACGCCAGGTACTTCCCGCTAGTGTGTTCATAAATAATGTTGCCTCCAAGTTGAGTGTGTGCCTCAATCCAACTGATTACATATGTAATAAACCGTCTTTCTCGTTGGGAATATAACGTTAATGTTTATTCCGATCACAGATCACAGATGGCCGTCCAACTTCTCTCAATAAAATAACCAAATACAGCAGCGGATTCTTCTTTCCTCCCTGGCGTTTATGTTTTTAACAACCAATCTTCCACTCCCCGCTCCCCTGCCGCCTCCACGCTCGATCACCCCTCGATCACGTCTCCCTCCCCCTCCACTCCACACATTTGGCCCGCACTCCCCCCGCCGGAACTGTGTGTCCATGGCTACCCTGCCTCATCTCTTTCCCTACTCCCCTCAATTATCAGTCATTACATATATTTAAATCCCACAAGCCAAAGATGAAATAGCTCACCCAGACTTGGCGTAGTCCCACCTTCCAGCAAATTAGCACAGAGCTCAATCCGTGTTGCACCTGCGTAATATACACAATTAAGCATGACATTTTATAAGCCAAATTCACATTCTCGTGCTTTTTTAAGAAGACAATACGTATAGGTTGTTGGTGAAATGTCTGAATGTTGCCACATCTCAAGATGCTACACACACAAGGGGGCCATGCATATTGTAACAGTTATGGAGAAGGCTACTCATTGGTAAATTAGTTTTTTTTAGCAAAGGGTATGGCAGCGTGCGTTTTCATAGTGAGGCATTTCTAATTTTACTGACACCGGGCTGCATTCATGTCATAACAACGTGGAACATATTCTTAGTTTTTTCGGTAAAGTCACGTTGAAGAGAAACAACAAAATAACAAAATATATATAAAACAATAAAAAATTCTCACGACGTTTCGACCATAACTCAAACGGTCATCATCAGGTGTGTCGGTTTGCATAAATTTATTTTGAAAACGGCATATTTATTTATTTATATATATAAAAAAATAATAACGTTTGCGTCACGCGCAACGATTGGCAGTTTGCCCAGGACTAGTCCATCTATTTTTTTGAAAAGAGGAGGGGGGAGACGAAATTTGTTTTTATGTATGCTGTCTGAAAGCCACTGTAAGCGTGAACAATCAATCAAGAACTGAAATGATTTATCAAATCTTTCCAATGATTGCTAAGATAGAATCCATCTTCTCGAAAGCTTTAAATCAAAATTTAATCGCCTCTACGGGGAGGGTTTTCACATAACTTTAAGATCCTTCAACAAACTCCGGGATAAGAAAGCTCAGCTGATCGAGTCTCTCACCTTCCTGAAGAGATGCCGCGACTCTGGGGTAATACCAATCGCATTTACACTCACCTCTGCTACTGTAACTTCTTCTAATGCGAAACGAATTCTTTTCAAAACTAGCTTAGCTCTTATCTCAGAAAAAATCAGACTTATACGCACAGAACTAGATCAGTTAGACAAGACACTCTACAAATCACACTTATCTTTGACGGCAATAATGTCCACATCGGATTGGGAACATGTAGACAATATGACTGCCTCTTCAGCTGCTACTATGTCGACCAAATGTAAGGAAAACCTGATTTCCAAATTTAACCTCCTCTTCAACAAAAGACCGGACCCACACACCAAAAAGTTAGACGTTAATAAAGTCGTAATTAATCGCAGTAACAGTTCTATTTCCGATGGTCTGAAATCCGTTTTAGCTAAAGGTCTAAACTTTGTAGTCACACCTAAACACATACCAGTTAATGATATAATTGCCCAAGTAGACGTTGCTCTCAGGGGCCTGGGTCACATCGCTGCCGACGTAGCAAGATCTGAAATCGCTGCAACCCTCAAAAACGCTAAGATGCCAGCTAGCAACCTCAGCAAAGATGAGCGTTTTGAATTATATAAATTAAAAAAGAGGAATGATATTGCAGTTCTCTCAGCTGACAAAGGCAATGCTACTGTCATCATGGATAAAATAGAATACAACAACAAAATTAAAGAATTACTCGACGATGGTAGTTATACAAAAATAAAAAGAGATCCCACCAACAGCCTCGTCACACAAACCAACAAAATAATTTCTGATTCAACCGCATTAATTGATCAATCTAAACAGTTTTCGTTGAAACCTTCTGCTGCCAGGCCACCAAGATTATACGGCTTACCAAAAATACATAAAGTTGATACACCTCTTCGTCCCATAGTCTCTACTATCAGCTCCCCCACCTACAAACTAGCTCGTTTTTTGTCTGAAATCCTGCGTCCTTTCACTGGAAAGACCACCTCTGCGGTACAAAATTCTACTCACCTGGTATCAACAATCAAGCGTATTTCCCTGTCCCCAGACGACCTGCTTGTCAGTTTTGATGTAGTTTCCTTATTCACCAAGGTTCCTGTACCTGACACCATTGCAATCATTGAAGACTTGGTTCATCAAGGACTAAACACTGAGGTACCCCCCCTGGTGAGACACTGTTTAACCAATACATACTTCACTTGGAATGGAACTTTCTACAAACAAACTGAGGGCACCCCAATGGGCTCCCCCCTTTCTCCAGTTATAGCTAACATTTTCATGGAGAAATTTGAGACTGACGCCATCCAGACTGCCACTCTGCGCCCAACCTTATGGAAGAGGTACGTGGATGACACTTTTGTCATCTGGCCACATGGCCGGCCTGCTCTAGACCAATTCTTCGACCACATCAATTCCATACACCCAGCCATTAGATTTACCATGGAAGTCGAAATAGATGGCAAGATACCTTTTTTGGATGTCCTAATTAAAAAGAGACCTGATGGTTCAATGAGCCACTCTGTCTACAGGAAAGCTACCCATACGGATGCTTATCTGAAACCGGATTCCCACCACCATCCATCACAGAAGAATTCTCTCATCAAGACTCTGTATCATAGAGCCCAATGCATATCCGACCAGGAACACATAAGCAGTGAACTCAAGCACGTACACCAAGCTCTTAGGGCTAATGGTTACTCCGACTATACAATCCGCAAAGCTATCACTCAAACCATGAAGAAGAACCCTCTTGAGGAGCCTTTCAAAACCATCACTTTACCCTACATTGCTGGGATCACAAAAAAGATCTCCAAAATCTTGAATAAACACAAGATCCAGGTCCGTTTCAACACATTACATAAAATCCGTGATCTGGTTCCGTCTGTAAAAGATGTGATTCCGGACATACAATACCCTGGTGTCTACAAACTAAGTTGCCTCTGTGGTAGTAGTTACATTGGAGAAACCAAACGCCATATCTCGGACCGCATTCGTGAACATAAAGCAGACCTTAAACACGGTAGGACCAACACCTCGGCCGTAGCAGATCATTGTTCTAATTCAGTAGGCTCACATGCCATTGACTTTTCCAAGACGGAGGTTCTTTGTAAGCCATCTGGCTTCCATGAGAGATTCGTTCATGAGGCTATCCACATATACAAACACAGAGACAATTTCAACCGAGAAGATGGATTCTATCTTAGCAATCATTGGAAAGATTTGATAAATCATTTCAGTTCTTGATTGATTGTTCACGCTTACAGTGGCTTTCAGACAGCATACATAAAAACAAATTTCGTCTCCCCCCTCCTCTTTTCAAAAAAATAGATGGACTAGTCCTGGGCAAACTGCCAATCGTTGCGCGTGATGCAAACGTTATTATTTTTTTATATATATATAAAAATAAATATGCCGTTTTCAAAATAGATTTATGCAAACCGACACACCTGATGATGGCCGTTTGAGTTATGGTCGAAACGTCGTGAGAATTTTTTATTGTTTTATATATATTTTGTTATTTTGTTGTTTCTCTTCAACGTGACTTTACCGAAAAAACTAAGAATATGAATTACTGCAGTGACGAAAGCTTTAAATCAAAACGTGGAACATATGGCAATACCTTCTGGGATGGAGGATCAAACTTTTTTGTAGAACTAAAATGACAATTGAACAATCAAGACAGAGGGTGCCATTTAGTTAATCTAAAATAGGCCACCATGCAGTAATAACGACAATTATTACTCAGTGTCAAGTGATGACACACTTGGCGAGTGGTAGTGATTTTTGAACCGATAGCGGTTAGCGGGCTGTGCAATGAACCCGGCGACAGGAGTTCAATTCCCGTTAATCGCCAACACCAGTGACAATTATCTGAGCTGGTCCTGAGTCTCCCATAGGTGCGGTGTGTAAACATCGCCGATGGGGAGACAAAGACGGTTGGGTGTGGTGCTAGCCACTCACCCCCTCGTGTGCCGTGCCGACCTTCATAGGTGCTCGCTTACAGCACTTGTCTCTACAGTCTGTTAAGGCTATACGTGGGATCTTTGTCTTTGATAGATATATACATTGTTCTCCTATAACACGTGTTTTCAAATTTTACATATAACGCGATGAATGTATTAGGGAACAAAAATTTTTATAACGCGGATGCGAATTGAATATAACGCAGTTGAGTGAACGGAACTACGTGTGTAGGAATAAGCGGTTGTACGTCTGCCTCAGTGTAGCATCGCACAAGACGGGATGCTGCTGGATGCTTCTAGATGCTACCAGCGCGGCTCGGTCTTGGTTCAACCTGTGTACGCATCTTGCGTGTTATCACGGACTGTGCTTTACCTTATATTATTTATTCTCACGCGATTTTTCTATAACGCACTGTTCTTCAGGAACGCAACTACCGCATTATAGAACAGACTGTATTGCGGAATACATAGCCCTGCGTCAGTAAAATGAGTGTCACTTTACGAAAAAAAAGGAACATGTGGATTAGACAGCATATGCAGCTTATAATAAGATAATTCAAGCTGTTAAGTGAGCTTGGGCGAGGGCATGTAGCTGGATAGGGACAATGGCCAGAAATTGACACTAACGGCAGAGTGGTAGCCAAAGGAGGGATCATGCCCAACAGGACGCCTACTTAGGCGACAGAGCTGTGAGATAAGAGCATGTACAGGACTGTGAGAGATGGTGATTGCTTCAGGATTTGTTTTAATCCAGAAGTGGATATATAATTAGAATATTTCATTTTATTTAGCGTAATTCATGCTAATTGTATCCCATAACGCCGTACATTAAATACATATAAAAGCCACATCCTATCCGAATCAGAATATGTATTTATACTGGAGGAATCCGATGAGCTATAAAGCTCTTTTTCAAAGATGTCCAATAGGGGCACGGGGTAAGAACGTTACAACAATTCAAAAGCACAACTACTGCCAAGCAAATGAAAGTGCTGCGACCAAGCAAAAATAAACATGAATAAACAAAAGGCACAAAGGTGTCACAATTGAGAAATTAGTCCATTATACAGTATATCCTGGCTCATGATGATATTGTACCTCCCAATTCAGCATTAATGGCAGATTCAACGGAGTCGACGCACACTTCCATTGTGTTTCTATCCTGCCAAAGAGACAAACAACAAAGCTGAATAAGCCACAGTTGAAGTATAATCCAATAAGGAGGTCTAACAAAAGTGATTTACACTTAAAAGGGCCAAATCGGTTCCGTCTATGCTCGAGGGCAGTGGATCTCAACCTTGTTTGGCTACTCTACCCCCCTTGTTGAATTTTCTTTCAACCGAGTACTCCCCTTGCCTGAACTAACATGATTCTGAGAAATAAATGTATGAATAATGAACATAAATATTTTTACCTAGTGTCCATTTTGTGAGGTATCCTAACTAGCGAGTAACAGCCAGCGAATAAAAAAAATCAACGGATGAGTGATGTAATTTGTTCGAGCTCGCTGGCTACCCTTGGAAACCCGCATTGTTCACGATCAGTGAGTTTAGAACGTCTTTTATATCGTTCTAGGTTACCATGTGGATTTAAATGTATCGTTGTTATTTTATATTGCCATATTCATATATGATAATTCACTAACGATTCTCATGTACGATAGAATTTCACACATTCATAAATCAACCACACGTACCCCCTTGGTCATTGCCACGTGTAACCCCAGGGGTCCGCGTAACCCCCAGTTGAGAACCACTGCTCTAGATGGGGCGATTGTCCCGATCGTTTATTGTCAGGACAATACAAATATCGATTTAAAGCTTTCGTGACTGCAAGGATTCATCTTCTTTGGTTCTTTCGGTAAAGTCACGTAGAATGAGAATAAAATAATAAAATAAAACAATAAAATTCTCACAACGTTTCGGCCACAACGCAAGCGTCCGTCTTCAGGTGAAAGGAACAGACCTGTCGGGACGGCAAAGCTTCAATGAACGATGTTAAGATTCGTAGTGACTTTAAAGCTGGTTGGGAGAAGTGAGGCACCTTGACAAAGGGGTTTACATATCAAATAGTTGAGGGATTAGCTTGTGACTGGTCACAGAAATGGCTATGTTAAAGTCAAAACCTACACATCCACAGAGGCAACTAGTAATATAGCATTGAAATAGCTAAGGGATTAGCTTGTGCAAATAGCTGAGGGATTAGCTTGTGACTGGTCACAGCAATAGATGTCAAAGTAAAGGCCTACACATCCAAAGAACTTCAATGAACGCTGTTAAGATTCGTAGCGACTTTAAGCTGATTGGGAGAAGTGAGGCACCTTGACAAAGGGGGTTTACATATCAAATAGCTGAGGGATTAGCTCGTGACTGGTCACGGAAATGGCTATGTTAAAGTCAAAACCTACACATCCACAGAGGCAACTAGTAATTTAGCATTGAAATAGCTAAGGGATTAGCTTATGACTGGTCACAGAAATAGATGTTAAAGTCAAAGCCTACACATCCACAGAGGCACCTCGTACATGGACGCCAAAGGGGGCTGCAACAACTCAACTGTCATACAGTAAACCGATGTGAAAACCTAATTCTAAATTACATCCATATAATAAATGTACTCAATGTATTCTTCAATAAGCTGAGCTATTAACATTAACTGGGTATACACTACACTATATAATGAATACCATATAGTAAACAATAAAACATAAAATATAAGCTACCTCAATGTTACATCAGAATGTTATATGGTGAAAAAACAGGCGGACCTTCCACTTCAGCACCACGGACAGCTACGAGCCCCGTTCAGACGGACGAGTCCATCCATGGTCGGAGCGGAGGCGGAAGGAGGGGAGAAACAGCTGCGAAGCGCTGTTATACTCCATGTTATTAACCATACCATTAACCGTGGTGTCAGAGGTATTAAGAGTCAGTGCCAGCGAAAGAGCTGCGGTCTGAAGGTCCTCTTGCTGATATACTACGACCTTTCACTGGAAAAAACACCTCTGCGGTACTAAATTCCACTCACCTGGTATTGACAATCAAAGGCATTTCCCTGTCCCCAGACGACCTGCTTGTCAGTTTTGATGTGGTGTCCTTGTTCACCAAAGTTCCGGTACCTGACACCATCGCTATCATTGAAGACCTGGTCCATCAAGGACTACATACTGATGTACCCCCCTGGTGAGACATTGCTTAACCAACACATACTTCACCTGGAATGGAACTTCCTACAAACAGAGGGCACCCCAATGGGCTCCCCCCTATCTCCGGTTGTAGCCAACGTATTCATGGAAAAATTCGAAACTGACGCCATCCAGACTGCCACTCTACGCCCAACCTTATGGAAGAGGTACGTGGATGATACTTTTGTCATCTGGCCACATGGCCAGCCTGCTCTAGACCAATTCCGCGACCACATCAATTCCATACACCCAGCCATCAGATTTACCATGGAGGTCGAAAAAGATGGCAAACTACCCTTTGTGGATGTCTTAATTAAATGAGCCACTCTGTCTACAGGAAAGCTACCCATACAGATGCTTACTTGAAACCGGATTACCTCCACCATCCATCCCAGAACTCCCTCATCAAGACTCTATACCATAGAGCCCTATGCATTTCCGACCAGGAACACATTACCAGTGAACTCAAGCACGTACACCAGGCACTCAGAGCTAATGGTTACTCCGACTACACAATCCGCAAAGCCATCACTCCAGTCAGGAAGAAGGATCCTCTTGTGGAGCCACTCAAAACCATCACCTTACCCTACATTGCGGGGGTCACAAAAAAGATCTCCAAAATCCTGAATAAACACAAGATCCAGGACCGATTCAACACAGTACATAAAAGCCGTGATCTGGTTCCATCTGTAAAAGATGCTGTTCCAGACATACAGTACCCGGGCGTTTATAAACTAAAGTGCCTCTGTGGTAGTAGCTACATTGGAGAAACCAAACGACATATCTCGGACCGCATCCGCGAACATAAAGCAGACTTGAAACACGGCAAAACAAACTCCTCTGCCGTGGCAGATCACTGTTATAATTCAGTGGGCTCACATGACATTGACTTCTCCAAGATAGAGGTTCTTTGCAAACCAACCGGCTACCATGAGAGATTCGTTCATGAGGCCATCCACATATACAAACACAGAGACAATTTCAACCGAGAAGATGGATTCTGGCTTAGTAACCATTGGAAAGATGTTTTAAACCATTTCGGTTCTTAATTAATTGTATTTTACGAGGACCTTCAGACCGCAGCTCTTTCGCTGGCACTGACTCTTAATACCTCTCACACCATGGTTAATGGTATGGTTTATAACATGGAGTATAACAGCGCCTCGCAGCTGTTTCTCCCCTCCAATGTAGTTACATTGGAGAACCCAAATGCCATGTCTCGGACCGCATTCGTGAACACAAAGCAGACCTTAAACACGGTAGGACCAACACCTCGGCCGTGGCAGATCATTGTTATAATTCAGTAGGCTCACATGACATTGACTTTTCCAAGACAGAGGTTCTTTGTAAGCCATCTGGCTACCATGAGAGATTCGTTCATGAGGCTATCCACATACAAGCACAGAGACAATTTCAACCGAGAAGATGGATTCTGGCTTAGCAATCATTGGAAGGATTTGATAAACCATTTCAGGTCTTAATTGATTGTTCACGCTTACAGTGGCTTTCAGACAGCATACATTAATTTTTCGTCTCCCCCCTCTTTTCAGAACATAGATGGACTAGTCCTTCTAAATAAACTGCCAAATCGCTACACGTGGCGCTGACGCTTTTTTCAAAGAAATAAACACGCCGTTTGTAAATAAATAAATTATTGCGGACCGGCATGCCTGATGACGGCCGTTTGTGTTATGGTCGAAACGTCGTGAGAATTTTGTTTTATATATATTTTATTATTTTATTGTTTCCCTTCAACGTTACTTTACCGAAAGAGCTAAGAATATGAATTACTGCAGTCACGAAAGCTTTAAATCAAAATTTATATGGTATTCATTATATAGTGTAATGTATACCCAGTTAATGTTAATAGCTCAGCTTATTGAAGAATATATTGAGTACATTTATTATATTGATGTAATTTAGAATTAGGTTTTTCACATCGGTTTACTGTATAACAGTTGAGTTGTTGCAGCCCCCTTTGGCGTCCATGTACGAGGTGCCTCTGTGGATGTGTAGGCTTTGACTTTAACATCTATTTCTGTGACCACAAGCTAATCCCTTAGCTATTTCAATGCTAAATTACTAGTTGCCTCTGTGGATGTGTAGGTTTTGACTTTAACATAGCCATTTCCGTGACCAGTCACAAGCTAATCCCTCAGCTATTTGATATGCAAACCCCCTTTTGTCAAGGTGCCTCACTTCTCCCAACCAGCTTAAAGTCGCTACGAATCTTAACAGCGTTCATTGAAGCTCCGTGGATGTGTAGGCCTTTACTTTAACATCTATTCCTGTGACCAGTCACAAGCTAATCCCTTAGCTATTTCAATGCTAAATTACTAGTTGCCTCTGTGGATTTGTAGGTTTTGACTTTAACATAGCCATTTCCGTGACCAGTCACAAGCTAATTCCTCAGCTATTGATATGTAAACCCCTTTGTCAAGGTGCCTCACTTCTCCCAACCAGCTTAAAAGTCGCTACGAATCTTAACATCGTTCATTCATTGAAGCTGTCGTCCCGACAGGTCTGTTCCTTTCACCTGAAGACGGCCGCTTGCATTGTGGCCGAAACGTCGTGAGAATTTTGTTATTTTATTATTTTATTCTCATTCTACGTGACTTTACCGAAAGAACCAAAGAAGATGAATACAAATATCGTATGGCACAAGGGAACAAATGATAAAAAAAATGTTTTATCATCAACAGCACAATCATCATCACAGTCCATGGGCAGATAGCCTGGAGGTGTCCACCACACATCTCGTCATTTTTTGCCCTTTCCTGTCTTGTACTGCCAATATGCTCGAGTTGTGCCACATATTTATCGCACCAATCTCTTATATCGTCGTCATAAAGCCATTCTCTGAGGTTTTCCTCTCGGTTTCCTTCCATTTTTCCGAACAACACATTTTAATTTCCCTGTAATTGACCATCCTACATATGGTGTTCCAAAAGTCAAAAGAGCACCATGTCTAAAACAAGTGCCGAAACGTGATGGCACGTTGGTGATGTCTGCAGGAGATGGAGTCAACCTGTCAACCCATACGATTTACACGTATTGTATAGGAAAATCTAGTTAAAGAAAATGTTTTGTCTATTTGTTTCGCCCTCGTGATGGGACTTTGGAGAATAAACGTTTACATTTATAAGGGCACGGGGTGATCAATAAGGGCTGAATTGGTCTGCAATAAGATAGACACTGATAAGGTGTACGACGTGGTGATTTTGTGGATGGCGTGATCATTGTGTTTATGATGAGGGATCACCAATACAGTATTGGGAAACACCATTTAAATGTTAGAACCAGAATGTTAATCAACATCTAAATTTATCCTGGAGGAATCCGATGAGCTATGAAGCTCTTTTTCACAGACGTACAAATTAGTTTAAAATAAACCTGAAATCGGCATTGAAATTCACAAAAAAACCCAATCTGTCAAAATATCAAGTGTCTGAAAAGTAAAAAAAGTTATATAATCGGCGATGTTTCGGGCAAAGGCCCTTTCACAGCACATAGGACGCCAGAATGGATCAATTACAATTACCGTATTATTTTAGAATGGCATTATTATTTATGAATAATCCCTATTGCGTTTATTATATTATTACATATTTTTCGTATTCAACATCAACAGTATTATTAGTATTATTGTTCTAGTCATGTAGCTACTGTGTTATGGTGATTACAGTTGAACTTGACAAGATGGCGGTGCGCCCTTCCCTTGGTGACGGCCTCCTGTCACGTGACAGGCGCGCGGGCGCTCGTCACGTGGTCGCTTTCCTTCCGGGTCAAGGCGTTTCCCCCCCCCCCCACGCGGCACCCCCCTCCCTCCGGTTCCGCGCTCAGCCGCGAGCTTCACAACCACGCGGCGTCTTTCGCGTGAACGCGACTCGGTGGGGTGGCCGAGCCAGAGGAGTGACCGAGCCAGAGTGACGCTTCGTGCAGTGACGAGAAGCAGCTGCAGCAGCAGGTGGATACAGATGTGCAACACAACAACCGCCATTCGCCACAAAGTGGCGGTGACGTCACCACGACGCTTGTGCCAGGCCATGTGCACCTTGAGGTGTGCACTCACCTTAATACACGCAGGGTGGATGTGGGGGAGCTCTGCCGGGCCGTGAGCTCAGCGACTCCCCGCGCTGCGTCACGGGCCCAGCGCGACTCACGCGCCGGGGGTCACGGGTCACGTGGGCGTTACGGTGGCGAGATGTCAACTCCCTCGCGCGGTATGCAGGAGTTCGTGGGTTCGATCCCGACCCTGACGCCTGCTGTATTTTTGGAGTTTGCGTTTCTCTCCCCGTGGTCGCGTGGATTTTTCTCCAGTTCCTTCGGTATTTCCCCTCCATTTAGAATCGACGTCACGCATTTAGAGTATTCGGCTGCTATAAATGTATACATGATGATGATGAGCCACTTCACTGAGCTATCATTTGTGAAAGCCAGGTCGTGTATGAAAAAGAGCTACATATCTCGGTGGGCCCTTACCTGGTAAAATAATAAATAAAGTGTAATAGTTCACGTGGCGCCTCGCTCATTGTTACGAGCCAGGTCTCACCCGCTTGCACTTTGCGGCCGTCCTTGTGTGTCGCGTTCTGACGTTCTGAGCTGGCTACAAAAAAACACCCTCGGAAACAGCGAGCATCCCCACACAGCGAGTATCTTAGCCAGACTGGTCGAGTCATTGGTGTTGCGTATTTGTTAAACCTGGTGCAGGAATACAACTCGCCTGTTCAGCGGTCACTGCCGTCACGATCTCCCATCCCAGGCCCTCCTGGCTGCGACTCGTTTGAATATCCGTGATTGTGCTCATTGGGTTTTCCTGTTTCATGTATGCAAATTTGGCTCCATTCACCTTCATGGGTTTCTGATCCGCCCCTTACTGGACAGCGGTGAAAAGGAGATTCATAACTCATCGGATTACTTCAGTATAAATAAAGATTCTGATATGCAATATTACAATGTAATGTACAGATAATATTCATTCATCTGAATATCGTGTTCTTATGTAAGCTTAACTGAAAAAAAAACCTTTTCAGGACCCTCCAGAAAAAGTGGACTCTTTGTGAGCTCTCCTGGGTAAATAAGGGACCGTCCATAAATGACGTCACGCGATTTGGGCCGATTTTTGACCCCCCCCTCCTAGAGGCCGACCGAAATTCGGTTTTGGCGCCGAAAGTTGGCATAGTTTCTGTTTCGGCCGAAGCCAAAAAGTTAACTTTCGGTTTACTTTCGGTTTCGGCCGAATGTATTTTTTTTACTTTCAGTTTCGGCCGAGAGTAAATTTTTTACTTTCGGTTTCGGCCGAAAGTAAATTTTTTACTTTCAGTTTCGGCCGAAAGTACATTTATTACTTTCGGTTTCGGCCGAAACCAGAAATTCAGTTTCGGTCGGCCTCTACCCCCTTCCCCCCTCGTCACACGGCGTCACAAAAGGTCCAGACCCCCCTCAAATATGACATCAAAAAGCTCTGCCCCCCCCCCCCCAAAACCATATTTCCATTTTTAAAATAAAACATGCTTCAAATCACTTTAAACTATTGTCATTGTAGTGCATATTTAATGTGGCACTGCACTCTGATGTTGGAGAAAACATGTATTAAAAAGGAGGCGTTGGAAAGCTGAAATTTAGCATAAAATGCACTTGAAAATATTCAACGTCTAACTAAAACTGCAGATGTTCAGAATATATTGAAATTCTCTTATAATTATAAATTATAACTATGAAAACATACTTGAAACTTTGTAGTAGAACGAAGCAAAATGGAGAGTACAATTATAACAATCACATTCATTCCACAGAATGAAAAGCCCTGGTAGAATAATTAAAATCAAATGTTTAATAACAATCATTCCAAAAATTTACAAAATATATGCTTCTCCATTCTCCCATGGAGAAGCAAAATGATCCTTAATGGAATAAATAAAAGGTGACCTTAGTAATTTTTTTATAATCAAATAGTTAATAATGAAAATTAATCAAAATTAGTGTTATAACAATTATATTGTTTATATTTATTTAAAGTTGCGCATTTTTACGTGACGTCACATTTCTCAAACCCCCCTCCCCCCCTCGTCACACATCGTCACAAATGTCTGACCCCCCTCCCCCCCTAGGTGTGTGACGTAATTTATGGATGGCCTCTAAGTGCAATAATAACACTAATCCCTGCATTTCTCGCAATTATAGTACAATAGCTAATGCCCCTTTGGAGTTAATATTGCTACCAGGACAGAACGCTGACAGTCTAAACCAAGTGAAAACTATATACTGTATTGGAATTATTCTTTATTGTCATTCACTGGCCTTCCATTAAACAAGATAACTTTTAATAATAGGCTGTTTCCCCTTTTTTCTGGCAACAAAACTGAAACCTTTTTACAAGGATTCATGTCTGCATTAACCACAATACTTGCAGTCAAAATGCAAACAAAAAACACACTATGATAATATATGCATTGTCCTTGAAACTGATTGGTTCACACCAGAGACAGCTTTCTTTTGGGCCTCGTCTCAATTGGTGCTCGACCAGATGACGCCAAAAGGCGTACAGCTCAAAGACAATGCACTATAAAAGTAATGAGGGCTCGGGGTAAGCATCTACATCATTAGACCTTTGCCAGTACCAAAATATACAGTAACACCTTGGATTGTGAGCATAATTCGTTCCGGAAACGTGTTTGTAATCCAAAGCACTCGTATATCAAAGCGATTTTCCCCATAATAAATAATGGAAACTCAGATGATTCGTTCCACAACTGAAAAATATTAATATAAAAATGATTATTACAAAATACCTGTTAATATTTTTATTATTTAAATTTAATATAAAGTAATAAAATTAATTAAATTGAATCGTGGCTGGTGTGAGGGAGACGAGAGAGAGGAGGGTTATTGTGTAGGATGACTTTCATTGTCACTTACGGAATCACTGCCATCTGTTGGCTCACTGGAATCTTTTTTCTTTTTGTGCGACTTTAACAAGGAACCTATCCAATGACACTTGCTTTTGCCTCCTTTTCAACCTTTTTCTTCGTGGGGGCCATTGTTGCAGTACAGTTACTAAAGAACAGTCATTACACTTGGACACAAAGTAAAAAAAATACTTTACGCACACACACGGGGTCACAACACTATAGTAAACAGTATACGCTCGCACGGATGTTGACTATACGAGTGAGGCACGCTGACTGAGACCGAGCATGGGAGACGATTACCCAAAATCACGCAGCGAGAGAGAACCATCGGCTCAGTTGTGATCACGTGACGCTCGGCAGACAAAGCGTATGCGTACTACTCGTATTGCAAGACCTCGTTCGTTTATCAAGTTAAAATGTTTCGATTTAAAGCTTTCGTGACTGCAGGGATTCATCTTCTCGGTTCTTTCGATAAAGTCACGTAGAGTGGAAATAAAATAATAAAAATAAAATTCTCACGACGTTTCGGCCACAACACAAGTAGCCTTCTTCAGGTGAAGAAACAAGTCTGTCCAGAAGACAGCGCTTGAGTGAACACTGCCAAGCATGGACAGCGTCTTTTAAGCTGTGTGGGCGGAATTAACATATTAATTAGCATGTTACCCAGCCCCACCTCCGGAGGATGGCGGCTGGGCACACAGAAAAATACCAAAGCAGAACAGCTAAGGTGCGTTGCTCTGTCCTGTGTTGCATTATAACTGCTATAAACTGGACTACTATACAATAGTATACCTTCCAATCTAAATTACATGGTATAATATCATATCCATAGACAAATTCCACCTTTGATTTATACAATGCGTTACTTTACACTACCCTATACTTTAGACTATAAAATATTAGACTTGTAACATTACACTGTCTTATTCTATGATCCCAACTATATACCACACTGCTGTATATTCACTATGCAATTACAATACTATATATTGCCTTATGAATTGTGTTAAACATTACAATGTTATACTATTTATTATACCATTAACCATGGTTAATGGTATGGTTTATAGCATGTGGTATAATACGTGACTTAACCGAAAGAACCAAAAAGAAGTTAAAATGTATTTACAACTTTTGCTCTTCTTGCAAAACACTCGCTGACCAAGTTTCTAGCAATCCAAGGTTTTACTGTAATAGGGTTTTTCCCCTTTTTTTGGTTTGAATTTTGACTGCACGTATTGTGGTTAATGCAGCCATGAATCCTTGTAAAAAGGTTTCAGTTTTGTTGCCTGAAAAAAGGGGGAAAACCCTATTAAATGTTGGTACTTGCAAAGGAGGTCTAATGATGTAGTTGCTCACCCCGAGCCCTCATTACTTTGATAGTGCGTTGTCTTTGAGCTGTACGCCTTTTGGCGTCATCTGGTCGAGCACCAATTGGGTCGAGGCTCAAAAAAAAGCTGTCGCTTGGTGTGGACCAATCCGTTTCAAGGACAATGCATATATTATCATAGTGTGTTTTTTGTTTGCATTTTGACTGCAGGTATTGTGGTTAATGCAGACATGAATCCTCGTAAAAAGGTTTCAGTTTTGTTGCCAGAAAAAAGGGGAAAACCCCTATTATTATATTTTGGTACTGGCAAAGGAGGTCTAATGATGAAGATAACTTTTCCAAATCCGAGTCGCCTCCTGTTTTTATTTGTGCATTATTCATTAACTTCCAGTTTTTAACTAACGAATTTGTTCCTCGATTATAAACATCGGTTTAGATGCTCCGTTTGCTAAACCGAACACTGATCAACACAACGGACAGCCTAGGAGACCTCAGTCTAGCAGTGGATTGATAAGGGGCTGTAGGATTTTGATTTTAATGCAGGGGGTGTCAAATTCAATCAGACAGCGGGCGAGTTTGTATTAAAATGCATCTCCCACGGGCCACACAGTTGGGCCTATGAAAATGTAAATCAAACCAAAAAAAGGGGAAAAACCCTATTACAGTAAAACTTTGGATTGCGAGTAACTTGGTCTGCGAGTGTTTTAAATAAATATTAATTTGATAAACGAGCGAGGTCTTGCAATACAAGTAGTATGTACGTATACGCTTTGTCTGCCGAGCGTCACGTGATCACAACTGATATACGAGTGCTTTGATATACGAGTGCTTTGGATTACAAACACGTTTCCGGAACGAATTATGCTCGCAATTCAAGGTTTTATTGTAATACAGTATTAATTTACAGATTCAAAATTCGAAAGCGCAGGCAAAGAGTTGATTTATTTTTTTTCGGCAGGACATGGCCAAATCCCCCATTTCAATATCTGGTTTAAATTCAAGTTGAAATTTGGGTAGCGGGCCGGAGGAAGGGGCTTGGGCGGCTTGTCCAGCTCGCGGGCAATGTGTTTGACACCCCTGGTCTCATGTCATCTGGCACGTGTGGCGTGTTTCCACTTAAACGTATTCGCTGCCTTGTAAATTAATTTAATTGATCAAATATAAAGGAGAGATTTTTGTTACGTGGTCTGCTTGGTGTCATTTTAATGACATTCAGTTTAAATCTGAAAATGCGAGAATATTATTCCTAAACTTAAATTTTAAAGTTCTTAAACACAATATTTTTAATTCTGCTTTTTTTAAAAGCCCTATAATACATTCACCAATATGATCGACTGTTTTATTTTTGCTTTACAGATCAAGTGTACGTATTGTTCAGGAATTATAAAATATGGAGGCCTGTGATAAATCTGACTGCAGTACTAACCAGGAACAACAACACTCAAGTGAAATAGTGGCAGGATTTTCTGCAGTAGCACATTTGGATGAAAATAGGAATGCAGAATTAGATTCTGGCCATCAACTGAATGTGAAATATTCAAACGCGGGGAATGATGATGCCTTGCAGACACTTATTGCTGAAAGCCCAGCAAACAATTTCACAAGCCATTCCCAAAATGAGTCGGAACATTTGGAAGAGAGAGAGATGGTTGAGCCAATGTTATGCAGTAGTTTAAGCACCGATAAACAATTGGGGTGTTCCGAAAGAAGAAAAATTCTCACTGACTCTTGTGATCCAGGCAGTTTGGCGTCCAAGGGTCAGTCTTCCCCTGGCACGCTTATGACTCAGAGTGGAGGAACAGGAGATATCTATGACGGTTTGGCTCCTCCTACTCGAGGTTTACCTCAAGATACACATTCAGAAGAAGATTATTCACGTCCGATGGAAAATTTAATTCGCGATCAAAGTAAATCATCCTTGCACAATATCTCGGAAGCTGCTGTCCACCTTGTACATTTGGAAACTACCACGTTGGAAAATGTGCATCAGCCTTGTTTTCCAAAGGATCAGTTTGTTGGTGAAAGCAAAGGAAGACCAAGAGGAAGAGGATTTCGGGATCGGGGTGGTCGGAGGGGTCGAGGAAGAGGGAGGGGTATACAGTCCTTGTGCAAGAGGGATACAGACACACACCCTAACGTGCTGCCAGAGTCTGCAGTGCAATTTGTTGATAAACAAGATGAAGGGAGAGCTGCGGTTGACGTTGCTGAAAGCGTTGATGTCAAGCAACCAAAATACAAGAAAAAATCTGCGACGAAAGCTGAGTGCATCCCCCAGAGTGCGTCACCATCTGCAGAGGGTGGCCGGCCAAAACGACAAGCTGCTGTCATGTGCGTACATGACCTTTGGTTTCCTTTAATGTCACTATATTCAAATTCATTCATCATACATAGTGATGGACCGTTGTGCCAAACGTGTGATCTCTTGCGACAGCATTCGCATAAACTGCTATTTTGCTACCATACCCCAGTGTCTGGAATAATTGGTTTGATCCACGGATATCACGGGGGTGACCATGGGAGCGACCACGGCGATGGTACCAATCCTTTGAGGGTCGCAGTCTCCTTCGAACAGCGACCTGGTATTTGTACATAATGTTTTTTTTGTAATTGTCTCAAAATTTTTATAAGATGCTTTAATTTCTTACCCTTCATTGATTTATACTGCTCAGCTTTCAGATATATTTCCACGTTCATCTTTCCCGCTCGTGTGCTTCCCATGTCTCAACAAACAAAAAAGGAAAAAATAGATATGTTTCGCGAGAGAAATATACAATTCATAATAAAGGTTTTTGGGTTAGATCGCGTTTATTTATAAATGTGTCGTAACCCTCCACCACCCGACACGGCCAATCAGCAAAAAAAGTATCACGTTGACAAAAGACAAATAATTCACTACTTCAGCCCACCGGTGTGTTGAAGAGTTAATCCACATTTACAGTTTGAGTACGACGTTTCGCTGGTAAATACATCCAGCATCATCGGGCAATTCGCCAGAATGGTAAAGCCCTCGCTTGCTCCCGGTTTTTCTATAGAGCAGCAGGGTGACGTCATCACTTAACTCATATCAGGTGCAGTGATTAGAGGCGGAGGGGGGGTATTGTAATTATATAATCGATTAGTAATCAGTCATTGGTTATGATTAGTAATGAGTTGTAGATTAGTAATTCTTTAAATGAAATGTGTATTATTTAATAATACGCTTCCAGGCCGCACTAAGCCGGTAGCTGTCAGAGCGATTAAAGTTATTCTTGTTCCTCTCAATTTCAATGGATTCTCTAATTAGTCTTTGCCAGTAATAATTAGTTTTACACACCACTGCAACATTGTCAAAATCAATTGAGTGTCCTTGTTGACAAGCATGTTCTGCCACTGCCGACAGTTGTGTTTGAGATAATTTAATATTTCTCTGATACTCTTTTAGTCTTACGCTGATGTTACGTCCCGTCTGCCCAATGTAGCAGCTGCCACATGAACAATTAATCCGATATACACCTTCTGTTGATAGTTTAGGTAATGCATCTTTAGTGCAAGATACTAGTTTTTGAATTTTGTGTACTGTACCAAATCTTACTGTAATGTTTTGCTTTTGCAGAACACGGGCTAATTTGTCAGTTACTCCTGAGATATATGGAATTTTTATTGTTTTAACAATCTGGTCGCTTTCAGTAGTATTGCTTTGCGATCGTGATTTGGCATTCAGTGCTCTGTTAATTTGAGCATTATTGTAGCCATTCTGTCGTAGTGCGTCTTTAACGTGTTTAATCTCTCTCACTAGACTCTCACCATCTGACACTGTTTTGGCCCGATGTACGAGCGTCTTGATAAGAGAGGATTTCTGAGCTGGATGATGATGTGATTCTGCATTCAGATAGGCATCAGTGTGCATTTGCTTTCCGTAAATGCTGTGTGTTATTTTACCGTTTAGGCCATGTCCAAGCAAAATATCTAGGAATGGGAGTGTGTTATTCACCTCCATTTCCATGGTGAACTGGATGGCCGGGTTTTGTGCATTGAGATGATTTAGAAAATCATTAAGTGTATCTTTACCATGTGGCCAGACAACCAAAGTGTCATCCACATACCTAAACCAAAAGGATGGTTTTAATGTGCTCGAGGCAAGTGCTCTTATCTCTAAGTTTTCCATGTACAAATTTGCTATAGCAGGGGATAAAGGAGAACTCATTGCTGCTCCTTCCTTTTGTTTAAAGAAATCCCCTCTCCATAAGAAGTAAGTGTTATTTAAACAATGGCCAGCAAGTTTCGGAATATCTTTTTGTAAACCGGTATTCTTTACTAGTCTATCAAGTAATTTCAGCGATTCGTCCACTGGAACCTTAGTGAATAGAGAAATCACATCAAAACTTACCAGAATATCATCAGGAGTAAGTTTAATATCTTTAATCACATTCACAAGATGTTCTGAATTTTTTATGAATGAAGATGTCTTACCGATGTAGGGCTGTATTTGTTTGGTTATATATTTTGCTAATTGATATGTGGCAGAGCCAATTGTACTGACTATGGGTCGTAATGGGATGCCGATTTTATGAATCTTTGGTAGCCCATAGAGTCTAGGTGGTTTTGAGGCCCTTGGCTTAATTAGGTATTGCTCATTTTTAGGGATTAATGAATTTGCAATTATTGCAGTGGTCTTACGTTCTAAAGTATTAGTTGGATCTCGTTTAATTTTAATGTAGGTACTTTCCTCTAGTAAATTTCTAATTTTATTATCATAATCGGCTCGTGACATCACTACAGTAGTGCGGCCTTTATCAGCTGCTAGGGTTTGGATATCCTTATTTACACACAGCTCTCTTAAGGCTTTTGCCTCGTTAGAGCTAATATTTACTTTTGGAACTTTGCTATTCTCAATTATTTTAGCAACCTCATGTCTAGTCATCTCTGCCTCATTATGTGGAAGGAGTCTAACTGCTGATTCTACCTCAGCAATTATCTCATCCACTGGAATTGTGCGTGGGGTAACGGCAAAGTTAAGGCCTTTAGAAAGGATAGAGACCATGTCACCGGTTAATACAGTGTTGGTCAAGTTCAGTACAGTTTTGTTTTTACATTTTTGGTTTTCAGTAGGGATTTGTTTATTATGTAGTCTAGAAAATTTATTAATTTGGTTAGTTTTTGTTAGTTTAAACACATTATCAGCCGATTGTTGTGTTATGTTATCGATTATATTCCAATAATGCATAGATACACTATTGCTTATATCTAAGTGTAACTGCTTTAGCGATTCCGAAATGTAGGATAATTCACTCCTATTGTGCTGTATTCTCTCTATTAATAATAATTCGCTAGCTTTGTGTAGTATTTGGTTAGCTTTAGAAGACTTTATGTGATGTGTTATTTTAACTGCGTTTGGTATTACCTTTGAATCTCTGCACCTTTTGAGAAACGCCAGTGAAGATATCAATTTCATCCGCTTAATGCAAAGCTTCTCCAATTTTCTGGTTTTAAGAAAAGTATCCTCCCCATAGAGGTTAGTCAGTTTAACACGTAGGCTTTCGCGACCAATATTATTCATAATAAAGGTTTTTGGGTTAGATCGCGTTTATTTATAAATGTGTCGTAACCCTCCACCACCCGACATGGCCAATCAGCAAAAAAAGTGTCACGTTGACAAAAGACAAATAATTCACTACTTCAGCCCACCGGTGTGTTGAAGAGTTAATCCACATTTACAGTTTGAGTACGACGGGCAGACGGGACGTAACATCAGCGTAAGACTAAAAGAACATCAGAGAAATAATACATTATCTCAAACACAACTGTCGGCAGTGGCAGAACATGCTTGTCAACAAGGACACTCAATTGATTTTGACAATGTTGCAGTGGTGTGTAAAACTAATTATTACTGGCAAAGACTAATTAGAGAATCCATTGAAATTGAGAGGAACAAGAATAACTTTAATCGCTCTGACAGCTACCGGCTTAGTGCGGCCTGGAAGCGTATTATTAAATAATACACATTACATTTAAATAATTACTAATCTACAACTCATTACTAATCATAACCAATGACTGATTACTAATCGATTATATAATTACAATACCCCCCCCTCCGCCTCTAATCACTGCACCTGATATGAGTTAAGTGATGACGTCACCCTGCTGCTCTATATAAAAACCGGGAGCAAGCGAGGGCTTTACCATTCTGGCGAATTGCCCGATGATGCTGGATGTATTTACCAGCGAAACGTCGTACTCAAACTGTAAATGTGGATTAACTCTTCAACACACCGGTGGGCTGAAGTAGTGAATTATTTGTCTTTTGGCAACGTGACACTTTTTTTGCTGAATGGCCGTGTCGGGTGGTGGAGGGTTACGACACATTTATAAATAAACGCGATCTAACCCAAAAACCTTTATTATGAATAATATTGGTCGCGAAAGCAAGCCTACGTGTTAAACTGACTAACCTCTATGGGGAGGATACTTTTCTTAAAACCAGAAAATTGGAGAAGCTTCGCATTAAGCGGATGAAATTGATATCTTCACTGGCGTTCAAAAGGTGCAGAGATTCAAAGGTAATACCAAACGCAGTTAAAATAACACATCACATAAAGTCTTCTAAAGCTAACCAAATACTACACAAAGCTAGCGAATTATTATTAATAGAGAGAATACAGCACAATAGGAGTGAATTATCTTACATTTCGGAATCGCTAAAGCAGTTACACTTAGATATAAGCAATAGTGTATCTATGCATTATTGGAATATAATCGATAACATAACACAACAATCGGCTGATAATGTGTTTAAACTAACAAAAACTAACCAAATTAATACATTTTCTAGACTACATAATAAACAAATCCCTACTGAAAACCAAAAATGTAAAAACAAAACTGTACTGAACTTGACCAACACTGTATTAACCGGTGACATGGTCTCTATCCTTTCTAAAGGCCTTAACTTTGCCGTTACCCCACGCACAATTCCAGTGGATGAGATAATTGCTGAGGTAGAATCAGTAGTTAGACTCCTTCCACATAATGAGGCAGAGATGACTAGACATGAGGTTGCTAAAATAATTGAGAATAGCAAAGTTCCAAAAGTAAATATTAGCTCTAACGAGGCAAAAGCCTTAAGAGAGCTGCGTGTAAATAAGGATATCCAAATCCTAGCAGCTGATAAAGGCCGCACTACTGTAGTGATGTCACGAGCCGATTATGATAATAAAATTAGAAATTTACTAGAGGAAAGTACCTACATAAAAATTAAACGAGATCCAACTAATACTTTAGAACGTAAGACCACTGCAATAATTGCAAATTCATTAATCCCTAAAAATGAGCAATACCTAATTAAGCCAAGGGCCTCAAAACCACCTAGACTCTATGGGCTACCAAAGATTCATAAAATCGGCATCCAATTACGACCCATAGTCAGTACAATTGGCTCTGCCACATATCAATTAGCAAAATATATAACCAAACAAATACAGCCCTACATCGGTAAGACATCTTCATTCATAAAAAATTCAGAACATCTTGTGAATGTGATTAAAGATATTAAACTTACTCCTGATGATATTCTGGTAAGTTTTTATGTGATTTCTCTATTCACTAAGGTTCCAGTGGACGAATCGCTTAAATTACTTGATACACTAGTAAAGAATACCGGTTTACAAAAAGATATTCCGAAACTTGCTGGCCATTGTTTAAATAACACTTACTTCTTATGGAGAGGGGATTTCTTTAAACAAAAGGAAGGAGCAGCAATGGGTTCTCCTTTATCCCCTGCTATAGCAAATTTGTACATGGAAAACTTAGAAATAAGAGCACTTGCCTCGAGCACATTAAAACCATCCTTTTGGTTTAGGTATGTGGATGACACTTTGGTTGTCTGGCCACATGGTAAAGATACACTTAATGATTTTCTAAATCATCTCAATGCACAAAACCCGGCCATCCAGTTCACCATGGAAATGGAGGTGAATAACACACTCCCATTCCTAGATATTTTGCTTGGACATGGCCTAAACGGTAAAATAACACAGCGTTTACAGAAAGCAAACGCACACTGATGCCTATCTGAATGCAGAATCACATCATCATCCAGCTCAGAAATCCTCTCTTATCAAGACGCTCGTACATCGGGCCAAAACAGTGTCAGATGGTGAGAGTCTAGTGAGAGAGATTAAACACGTTAAAGACGCACTACGACAGAATGGCTAAAATAATGCTCAAATTAACAGAGCACTGAATGCCAAATCACGATCGCAAAGCAATACTACTGAAAGCGACCAGATTGTTAAAACAATAAAAATTCCATATATCTCAGGAGTAACTGACAAATTAGCCCGTGTTCTGCAAAAGCAAAACATTACAGTAAGATTTGGTACAGTACACAAAATTCAAAAACTAGTATCTTGCACTAAAGATGCATTACCTAAACTATCAACAGAAGGTGTATATCGGATTAATTGTTCATGTGGCAGCTGCTACATTGGGCAGACGGGACGTAACATCAGCGTAAGACTAAAAGAACATCAGAGAAATAATACATTATCTCAAACACAACTGTCGGCAGTGGCAGAACATGCTTGTCAACAAGGACACTCAATTGATTTTGACAATGTTGCAGTGGTGTGTAAAACTAATTATTACTGGCAAAGACTAATTAGAGAATCCATTGAAATTGAGAGGAACAAGAATAACTTTAATCGCTCTGACAGCTACCGGCTTAGTGCGGCCTGGAAGCGTATTATTAAATAATACACATTACATTTAAAGAATTACTAATCTACAACTCATTACTAATCATAACCAATGACTGATTACTAATCGATTATATAATTACAATACCCCCCCCCCCTCCGCCTCTAATCACTGCACCTGATATGAGTTAAGTGATGACGTCACCCTGCTGCTCTATATAAAAACCGGGAGCAAGCGAGGGCTTTACCATTCTGGCGAATTGCCCGATGATGCTGGATGTATTTACCAGCGAAACGTCGTACTCAAACTGTAAATGTGGATTAACTCTTCAACACACCGGTGGGCTGAAGTAGTGATTTATTTGTCTTTAGTCAACGTGACACTTTTTTTTGCTGATTGGCCGTGTCGGGTGGTGGAGGGTTACGACACATTTATAAATAAACGCGATCTAACCCAAAAACCTTTATTATGAATAATATTGGTCGCGAAAGCCTACGTGTTAAACAGAAATATACAAATTAATAAGGGAATGGATGCTACTGCTGCTGTTTAAACAATGTCCCTCTCTCGGTAGGGCCAAGAAGTTTCTCCAGGATTTGTTACTCGTGGAGGGCTCCCAACAGGAAGCAAGTGCCTCTGATGTGCCACAGAGCAATCATGATAAGAAGGTATCACGGTTCACTTGATACGTTTTGTACTTTCAGTTTTTGTCAATGCCCCACAAAGTTTGCATGATCGACTTTCTGTAGTTTTGGTCATTGTTTTCCTTTAAAATTAACGGTATGATAAGCCTACCTTATTAAAACCCTTTCTCATTCCAATGACGTACGTGTACGTCAGGATACATGTATATCATCGGAATGGTATCGGAAGAACCGGAAGGAAAGGAGCCAGAAGAAAATTAAAATAACTTTTGCGGTACCGAGGCTCCCACAAGGCCATGCGTGAGGGCGTGTGGCAGAGCTTGGCACCAGCTATCGTAGAGTGCGGTTGTGTCGCTACGGTTCTCTGTGGCGAGTAACAATGTCTTTAAAAACAACGGCACTATGCCTCTATAAATAATATGAATGATGAGCCGCTCGCACGTTCCGAGATTCGGCGGTGAACGGCACCCACACCCTGCAACTTGCAAACTCTTGGAATGGGAAAGAGTTTACATTATTAACCTGGAATGTATATTTAAACATTTCACTGTAAACTGAACTTTTTTTAAAATAGCGTTGGGGCAGAATTTGCCCTCGCCACATTTCCTGACCACATCCTTTAATTGCACTTCCTGTGTCCATCGGGATATTTGGCCACATTTGTTGATTGTGTAGACATGGTTGTTGTCCGTAACATTGGATCTGCCCATAATGGTGTGCCTGTAAGCTGCGCGAAAGAAGATGCCTCTGCATTCTTTCAAACTCCTAAGGGTACCAGACCTATAGTCTTTGGTTCTTTCGGGAAAGTCACGTAGGTAGAAAAATAAAACAAAATACAAATAATATATCACGACGTTTTGATCGCAACACAAGCGGTCGTCCTCGGGCAGAAAAAATAATCCAGCAGTGAAACTGCTGAACAAGCGAAAGAGCTGTTACAACAAGGTTATATATGTGGATGGAATTCCTATTTATAAAAGAACCAAAGAGTATGGATTCCAGCGATACCAGACCTGTATGTATGTATGTTGAACTTCTTTTGCACTGTACATAGCCAACCGTGCTTATCGGAGGTGAGGGGGAAGGACAATAAACTAAACACAAAAATACCCCTATATACGTCTTGGCCCCAGGATAATAGTTGCAAAGCAACACTGCTGAAAGCGATCAGATTCTTAAAACAATTAAAATTCCATATATCTCAGGAGTAACTGACAAATTAGCCCGTGTTTTGCAAAAGCAAAACATTACAGTAAGATTTGGTACAGTACACAAAATAAAAAAAAACTAGTATCTTGCACTAAAGACGAATTACGTAAATTATCAACAGAAGGTGTATATCGGATTTATTGTTTATGTGGCAGATGCTATATTGGACAGACGGGACGTAACATCAGCATAAGACTAAAAGAACACCAAAGAAATATTAAATTATCTCAAACACAACTGTCGGCAGTGGCAGAACATGCTTGTCAACAAGGACACTCAATTGATTTTGATAACGTTGCAGTGTTGTGTAAAACTAATTATTACTGACAAAGACTAATTAGAGAATCCATTGAAATTGAGAGAAACAGAAATACTTTAATCGTTCTGATAGCTATAGGCTTAGTGCGGCTTGGAAGCGTATTATTAAATAATACATATTACAATTCATTATAGGGGAAACACATTAATTAACGGATTACTAATGTAGCATATAATCACAATAACACACATTACAACTGATTACTAATCTACAACTCATTACTAATCATAACCATTGACTGATTACCAATCGATTATATAATTACAATACCCCCTCTCCGCCTCAAATCACCGCACCTGAAATGAGTTAAATGATGATGTCACCCTGCTGCTCTATTTAAGACCGAGAACAAGTGAGGGAAATTTTGATTTAAAGCTTTCGTGACTGCAGTAATTCATAATCTTAGCTCTTTCGGTAAAGTCACGTTGAAGGGAAACAATAATAAAATATATATTGTTATATATGTTATTGTTTCCCTTTAACGTGACTTTACCGAAAGAGCTAAGAATATAGCAAGTGAGGGCTTTACCTTTCTGGCGAATTGCCCGATGATGCTGGATGTGATTACCAGCGAAACGTCGTATTCAAACTGTAAATGTTAAGGATTCACTCTTCAACACACCGGTGGGCTAAAGTAGTGAACTAATTGTCTTTTGTCAACGTGACACTTTTTTTTGCTGATTGGCCGTGTCGGGTGGTGGAGGGTTACGACACATTTATAAATAACGTGATCTAACCCAAAAACCTTTATTATGAATAATATTGGTCGCGAAAGCCTACGTGTTAAACCGAGTTGTATGGAAGATGATTGCTACATTGTATGTCAGCCTTGGCACCACGAGATCAGCCGAGTTATACAAGTACTTTCATGTTATTTTACAGTCGAATGTGTATCTTGTTTTCACATATTGACTGTCTTGTATTACTGTAAATGAGAATAGGTCTTATGCTTCCAATACCTGACTGAATCATGATTTTTTACTAAATCTTTTTTGTACGGGACGTTTCATAATATCAACAGAAATCAAGCGACAAGCGCACTGCATTTTTGGAGAGCGGGGAACATGCAGAGAGCTTCACTGATGATTCCAGAGATGAGGACTTTATACCTGAGGACGGAACATGTGACTCTATAACAGAACTCTACAGTGATGGGGACAGCTGGGATGAAGAAAGCAAGGTATCTGGAATACTGAACATATATACAGGCAGTATCCGATGTATGATGGTCCACATTTACGAAATTTATACAATGCAACCATGGATCGATTTACTTCATTTACAATGCATCTTCCAACATGACTGAACACGTTTAAACAGAGTCAGTCTGGTTTCCGATGCAACTTGGCGTGGAGCTTTTGTCATTAAGTATTTTTGTGGATGTTAACCTATTAAACCCATGTTGAATGTGGCTGATAAAAGGAAAAACACATCGGCAAGTGATATTTCTGTCTTTGGGAAAATAGGGTCTGATTTCCGATTATCCGATTTACGATAGGTTATTTACTTTTTCACAATTATATTGAACTCTTTTATCGCATATTTAAGTGTTGTAGTGTCAGATACAGATCTCCCACAACCCCTCATTAACCATTCCCACCAGTCCTTCTGTCACTATAACTACACCACCACTTTCAATCAACCGACTCTTTATTTTGACCACGATCATCTTACGTGCAATTTTATAATTACTGCAAAGCACCTTTGACTAAGGCGTTATATAAATCTATATGAGACAAGGAGAGACAGTGAGAGAGACAGATATCATTAGAGAATGAGAAAAATGGGCAAAAATTGAGAGGCACTGAGACACATGGAGACAGACACAGAGAGAGACAGTCACAGAGAGAAGAAAGACAAGGAGAGCAATGAGAGCACGTACAGAAAAACAGAGATGCAGGTGTGTTAGTTATGAAACAATTAAACACATTCGTGAAATAACACTGTCGCATTGGCAGGAAAAGTATATGAGGTGACATTTTATCGTACACTAGCAGGAAGTACCCGGCGTTGCCCGGGTCTTAAAAATATTTCAAAACTACTCTTAAAAATGTAACAGCAGTGTGTACTGACTGTGGTGGTGCCTGCTATGATTACAGCAGTGCATACTGTGGTGGTACCTGCTATCATTACAGCAGTGCATACTGTGGTGGTACTTGCTATGATTACAGCAGTGCATACTGTGGTGGTACCTGCTTTCACTGCAGCAATGCATACTGTGTTGGTAGCTGCTATGATTACAGCAGTGCATACTGACTGCGGTGGTACCTGCTATGATTACAGCAGTGCATACTGACTGTGGTGGTACCTGCTATCACTAGAGTAGTACATGCTGACTCTATAGCAGTATTTATTAAATCTATAGCACAAAGTACTCACCTGACAGTGACGTGGTGAGGTCTAGTCCCGTGCAGAGCCTCCAGCCTCGCCTATACAGTCCAGCTGGCCGAGGTGGCACCTTGGCAGTCTGGGGCTGGGCTGCTACCTCAGGCGCGATGTCCCTGGCTGCTCTGCAGTAATATCTACGGCCTATACAGTGAGGGAAAAAAGTATTTGATCCCCTGCTGATTTTGTACGTTTGCCCACTGACAAAGAAATTATGAGTCTATAATTTTAATGGTAGGTTTATTTGAACAGTGAGAGACAGAATAACAACAAGAAAATCCAGAAAAACGCATGTCAAAAATGTTATAAATTGATTTGCATTTTAATGAGGGAAATAAGTATTTGACCCCCTCTCAATCAGAAAGATTTATGGCTCCCAGGTGTCTTTTATACAGGTAACGAGCTGAGATTCGGAGCACACTTCTAAAGGGAGTGCTCCTAATCTCAGCTCGTTACCTGTATAAAAGACACCTGTCCACCGAAGCAATCAATCAATCAGATTCCAAACTCTACACCATGGCCAAGACCAAAGAGTGCTCCAAGGATGTGAGGGACAAGATTGTAGACCTACACAAGGCTGGAATGGGCTACAAGACCATTGCCAAGCAGCTTGGTGAGAAGGTGACAACAGTTGGTGCAAATGGAAGAAACACAAAAGAACTGTCAATCTCCCTTGGCCTGGGGCTCTATGCAAGATCTCACCTCGTGGAGTTGCAATGATCATGAGAACGGTGAGGAATTAGCACAGAACTACATGGGAGGATCTTGTCAATGATCTCAAGGCAGCTGGGACCATAGTCACCAAGAAAACAATTGGTAACACACTACGCCGTGAAGGATTGAAATCCTGCAGCGCCCGCAAGGTCCCCCTGCTCAAGAAAGCACATATACGTGCCCGTCTGAAGTTTGCCAATGAACATCTGAATGATTCAGAGGACAACTGGGTGAAAGTGTTGTAGTCAGATGAGACCAAAATGGAGCTCTTTGGCATCAACTCAACTCGCCGTGTTTGGAGGAGGAGGAATGCTGCCTATGACCCCAAGAACACCATCCCCACCGTCAAACATGGAGGTGGAAACATTATGCTTTGGAGGTGTTTTTCTGCTAAGGGGACGGGACAACTTCACCGCATAAAAGGGACGATGGACGGGGCCATGTACCGTCAAATCTTGGATGAGAACCTCTTTCCCTCAGCCAGGGCATTGAAAATGGGTCGTGGATGAGTATTCCAGCATGACAATGACCCAAAACACACGGCCAAGGCAACAAAGGAGTGGCTCAAAAAGAAGCACATTAAGGTCCTGGAGTGGCCTAGCCAGTCTCCAGACCTTAATCCCATAGAAAATCTGTGGAGGGAGCTGAAGGTTCGAGTTACCAAACGTCAGCCTCGAAACCTTAATGACTTGGAGAAGATCTGCAAAGAGGAGTGGGACAAAATCCCTCCTGAGATGTGTGCAAACCTGGTGGCCAACTACAAGAAACGTCTGACCTCTGTGATTGCCAACAAGGGTTTTGCCACCAAGTACTAATTCATGTTTTGCAGAGGGGTCAAATATTTATTTCCCTCATTAAAATGCAAATCAATTCATAACATTTTTGACATGCGTTTTTCTGGATTTTTTGTTGTTATTCTGTCTCTCACTGTTCAAATAAACCTACCATTAAAATTATAGACTGATAATTTCTTTGTCAGTGGGCAAACGTACAAAATCAGCAGGGGATCAAATACTTTTTTCCCTCACTGTAGTGGTAGCATCTACCAACTGTATAGAAGTAATAACTGCACGCATAATGGTGGGGGGGACATGAAACAGTGAAGAATTTACCTGAGCGTTTAGTGTATTTTTATAGGATTTTTAACGCGATCCTCACTCCCACCGAAGGCATGTGACTTGGCATGGGCCATCCTCCCCACCAAAGGCACGTGAGTTGGCATGGTCGTGCACGTGTCATAAATAAATAAAAGCGTAGCGCACAAAAATCGCAGTAAATCGCTAATTAAACTAATTTAAAGTTGACAGATGTGAAAAAGGAATAGCGCTTGTTGACCGCGGGGCTTACGGCGTGGTGCCTGGCTATTTTTTTACGTAAACCCCACCGTTGGATAGCCTAGCGCGCGACCACACAAACTCACAAACCCACACACAATGACTTTTTTTATATATATAGATAGATGTGAAGAGAAGTCGGAGACTATTTACGCACTTGTTTATTCTTCAACCCACAGCCACACTCGTTCCTAAAATCAACCCCGCCTCCCGCAGCCCCGCCCTCGTTCCCAATACACATCTCCGTCTCGCATGCCGGGTCCGTGTGACGTCAGTGCCCTTTAACCCTTGAACCCGTTTAGTGGATTCCCGTGCGTGTGATTGGTGCGTGCTGTGCTGAGTGCGGAGATTTCATGTCTGCGTGGTGCGAGTGTGTGAGGATGGTTCGCAGATCCCTTACACATGCTTAGAGGGGCCAGGCAGAGTGGATAATAATAATGATAGGAGTTGCAGACTGCACTTTTACACCATGGGGCCTGATGAGCATTTTACAAATGTTTTCCGATGACCAGTTTCAAAATCGACATATGAATAGTTACCGAATAGTAGCTCTTGAGAAACAGACACATCTTTCCACAATCAAAAGTATTACTGAATGAAGTCGTTGGTATTAAAAGTTAAATGATTAAATTTTGCTCTCCTCACAGCTCGAAGACTGCATAGTTGGACGGTTGGCGTAATCGGATAATTGATATTATTTGGCTGTTTGTTTCGGTAGACTTAAAGTGTTATTAATCCGATGATTGTTTTTAATTAATCTTTTATTGTATAACTTAATTGAGCAGCAACTATGCATCATCCTAAATTTGAAGTTTGCTTTCTAAGGTCCTGTTTTGTGTTGATATTATACATTTTTATTGATTTTTGTATCTTATTAGTTTTACTGAATGATGAAAAAATAATCATAATAATAGGCTTTATACCCTTTCTGGCAAATAATTTATTTCCCATCATTTTGATACTGGCAAAAAAAGTTCGATAGAGATTTACCTGATTATCATAATCTACTAAAGTGGTGAGATTTCCATTTAATTACTGGTACCCATTTATTCATTATTATATCCGTGATGGTGAATAATGATGATGCAGGACTCGGAATTAAGGTCCCAGAGTGAGAAGCAGAGAAGGGCGACGCGGAGTTTGCTGCCCTGCGACAGAATGAGCTTTTTCCACGAGGCTTTGCAGAGGACAAGAGAGCAGTAAGCGGTCACACGGGGGCAGGTGGAGCAGCACACACACGCAGCCCTTGGTCATTCCACTGCTGGATAAGGGGCTACCAACACCGTGTGCCTCGTGGGGGTCACATATTTCGATTACTTTTATCCATCATAGGGGGGGGGGGGGTTTGGGTTAGAGCACGTAAATGTAAATGTGTCGTTATAATCCGTCACTACTTGACACGGCCAATTAGTAAGAGTTTGTCACGTAAACAAAACGTGCCAATTACGTGTCAAACTCGATTGCTGTTGTCATCCGAGTTTACCCAGGAAAGCTGGACTGAGTCTCAAGATTCGTTTGTCACGGAGGGTCCTGCCAAGTTCTGACCAAACATTTCCAATGTTGAAAAATGATACCTACAATTCAGATTAAACAACAGCAACATCGCCCCTCTACTGCAAAAAAACTTGCTAACACCCCCGTAAAAAAAATAGCCATGAGCCTTCATGGGTAAACAATCTTAGTAGTAGTAGTAATAATAATGATGCCAATAATATGGAAAAGTTAAAATTAAATTTGGTTATAAACTATAAAAAAAAAACTATAAACTATATTTATTTTACCAGGTAAGGTCCATTGAGCTTTTTTAGAAGCGACCTGTATATCACAAATGATAGCTCAACGAAGTTGCTTATCACGTGGAAATTTATAGCAGCAGCCAAATTAACGTTGTGAGCCGTGGTTGATAAAAGTTGAGACAGTGGTGCAATTGCTCATTTCGATTTTAACACCATTGATAATATTTTTGTTTTTTTGTTTCAGTCGTCGGATTCATTACTCATCTTCTGTGTACCCCCAATGGGTCCCATTAATCACTGACTGGACCCTTCTGAGTACAAGGTATGTCAAGATGAGGTTTGTTTAACCAAGTGAGAACTAAAAGATACCAAAATAGACTAATTTTCTTTGGTTCACCAACACGTGTGTGTATAATAATGTGTGTGTGTGTAGAAACGTGTGGGGAGCGGTAGTGGAGCGGTTAGCGCGCTGCGCTACGAACTCGGTGAGCTCAAGTTCGATTCCCGCTCACAGCCAACACCAGTAACGATTATCTGTACCAGCCCTCGGCCTCTCCTCGGTCGACTCGGCCTCAAATGAGTGCCTGGGGCATTGTGTAAACATCGGCACTGGGGAGACAAAGGCAGCCGGGCGTGGTGCTGGCCATCCACCCCCTCGTGTGCTGTTCCGGCCTTCATAGGCGCTAACAGCACTTGCCCCAACAGTCTGTTCAGTCTATACGGAGGGTCTTTGTCTTTGTGTAGTAAAGCTCGTGCTTAATTGGGTACCTTTTCCCCCAGGAACAAATCGTTATATACTCTGACATTTACAGATACTGATTGAAACGTGGAAAATCTCAACTGTCATTTATTACATATGGATTTCTGTGATATGGTGAATTTGAGTAAAATTTTAAGGATGTAATTTTCCTCAGACCCACAATTGAATTATTTATGTATGCAGACAATAACGTGCTTTGTAAATTGCTTCTTTGTTTGAAATATTTTCTTTTTAAATTACATGTTTCAGCGACAGTGTGAAGTATTTGCCAAAGGAGAGTCGTTCCCCGCGCTTTGAAATACGACGAGAAGCATTTCCAGAAGCATTGCAGATTCACCAGCTGCACAGGTAAGGCCCTCATCATAGAGTCATCACGAGGCTTTCCTTTACCAGGGCAGGTACCCTTTTAGTATTGAGGTGACTTGTGTGAGGCTGAGCCGGTTCAACAAGTGACAATACAATTCCACCCAAAGATTCAAGATTAAAAGAGGAAATCACAGAAAGTAAATGGGACGTCTGTGAAGAAGAGCTTCCTAACTCATTGGATTCCTCGAGTCCAAATCAAAGTTCTATTTATGAACTTGGAACATTGTTCTGACCATTGACTCTTTGTGCCTCACCCACCCCGTGCACTCGCACATCCTGCCGTGATGTGGTTTCAGCATGGATTGGTTCCAACTCCCTCCAGCTAATTACTTCTTATCGGCGTGACACCTCAGCTTTGTTCAGCTCTCGTCATTCTCATGCCACACATCTCACCTCTGCAGGACCGCATACCTCCTACCTCCATCTGTGCAACCACAGCCGCTACAGTGAGGGAAAAAAGTATTTGATCCCCTGCTGATTTTGTACGTTTGCCCACTGACAAAGAAATGATCAGTCTATAATTTTAATGGTATGTTTATTTGAACAGTGAGAGACATAATAACAACAAAAAAATCCAGAAAAACGCATGTCAAAAATGTTATCAATTGATTTGCATTTTAATGAGGGAAATAAGTATTTGACCCCTCTGCAAGGCAATCACAGAGGTCAGACGTTTCTTGTAGTTCGCCACCAGGTTTGCACACATCTCAGGAGGGATTTTGTCCCACTCCTCTTTGCAGATCTTCTCCAAGTCATTAAGGTTTCGAGGCTGACGTTTGGCAACTCGAACCTTCAGCTCCCTCCACAGATTTTTTATGGGATTAAGGTCTGGAGACTGGCTAGGCCACTCCAGGACCTTAATGTGCTTCTTCTTGAGCCACTCCTTTGTTGCCTTGGCCGTGTGTTTTGGGTCATTGTCATGCTGGAATACCCATCCACGACCCATTTTCAATGCCCTGGCTGAGGGAAGGAGGTTCTCACCCAAGATTTGACGGTACATGGCCCCGTCCATCGTCCCTTTGATGCGGTGAAGTTGTCCTGTCCCCTTAGCAGAAAAACACCCCCAAAGCATAATGTTTCCACCTCCATGTTTGACGGTGGGGATGGTGTTCTTGGGGTCCTCCTCCAAACACAGCGAGTTGAGTTGATGCCAAAGAGCTCCATTTTGGTCTCATCTGACCACAACACTTTCACCCAGTTGTCCTCTGAATCATTCAGATGTTCATTGGCAAACTTCAGACAGGCATGTATATGTGCTTTCTTGAGCAGGGGGACCTTGCGGGCGCTACAGGATTTCAGTCCTTCACGGCGTAGTGTTACCAATTGTATTCTTGATGACTATGGTCCCAGCTGCCTTGAGATCATTGACAATATCCTCCCGTGTAGTTTTGGGCTGATTCCTCACCGTTCTCATGATCATTGCAACTCCACGAGGTGAGATCTTGCATGGAGCCCCAGGCCGAGAGAGATTGACAGTTCTTCTGTGTTTCTTCTATTTGCGAATAATCGCACCAACTGTTGTCACCTTCTCATCAAGCTGCTTGGCAATGGTCTTGTAGCCCATTTCAGCCTTGTGTAGGTCTACAATCTTGTCCCTGAAATCCTTGGAGAGCTCTTTGGTCTTGGCCATGGTGGAGAGTTTGGAATCTGATTGATTGATTGCTTCGGTGGACAGGTGTCTTTTATACAGGTAACAAGCTGAGATTAGGAGCACTCCCTTTAGATGTGTGCTCCTAATCTCAGCTCGTTACCTGTATAAAAGACACCTGGGAGCCAGAAATCTTTCTGATTGAGAGGTGGTGAAATACTTATTTCCCTCATTAAAATGCAAATCAATTTATAACATTTTTGACATGCGTTTTTCTGGATTTTTTTGTGTCATTCTGTCTCTCACTGTTTAAATAAACCTACCATTAAAATTATAAACTGATCATTTCTTTGTCAGTGGGCAAACGTACAAAATCAGCAGGGGATCAAATACTTTTTTTCCTCACTGTAGATCCCACTCAGACCCTCATCAACACGTCTCTCCCTGTCCCGCGATGTAACAATCCACAGAGCTTATCTTATTTTGTATAGATTTACATAGTCCAAGGCTCTTTACAATGTTTGTAATTGTTTACATAAGATGATAGTGATTAAAATAAATAGTGGGGTTATTAATAGTGGTGGTGTAGTTATGGTGACAGGTGCGAGTGGTTAAGGAGGGGTAGGGGTAGTGATAGAGGTTGGGGTAGTGCTAGGGGTAGTGATAGGGGTTGGGGTAGTGGTAGGAGTAGGGATAGAGGTTGGGGTAGTGCTAGGGGTAGTGATAGGGGTTGGGGTGGTGCTAGGGGTAGGGGTTGGGGTAGTGATAGGGGTTGGGGTATTATTAGGGGTAGTTATAGTAGTGATAGGGGTTGGTCTATGCCTGGTCATAGCTGGGGGTTGGGGGCAGGGAGTTGCAGTAACAGGATGGGCTAGGGGGAAGACATGGGGGTTGTTTTAAGGGAGGAACGGAAGCTACTTGTTGTGATAGTGAAGACGATTGCTCTGTGCTGCAGTGGGAGTTGGTTCCGGTGGACGGAGTGAGAAGGGAACAAGAAGAGAGAGAGACTGGTAGCAGAGAGGACAGGTTAGGATAGAGGAGTGAGAGACAAGAGATGGAGTAAGAGCTTGGAGGGATTTATAGACTTCGAGTGAGAAATGTAAACAGACAGCGATAGACAGGGAGCCAGTGGAGTTGGGAGAGTAGAGCAGACGTGTGGGAATTGTGGGGTAGGTTAAAAATTATCACGGCTGAGGCGTTTTGTATCTACTGTTGGAGAGGAGCGGGCGCCACGGTGGGGAGATGTTAACTAACTCGCCTCATATGCAGGAGGTTGAGGGTTCCATCCCGACGCTGATGCTTGTATATTTGCAGTTTGCGTGTTCTCGCACTGGTCATGTGGATTGTTTTCCGGTTCCTCCAATCTTTCCATCCGCATTTACAGGGTGATTCAAAATGTGGACCCGATTTGAAAGCGCTATATCTCTGCCACCACGAACTCCCCATGAATGAAACTCTTACAACTTGAAAGGGCGGGGCATAGAGTTTCAAATGACTACCGCTAGATGCCTCTCCCAGTGCACAAACAGCCCTTGCTTGAGTCATTCGCAAGACACACTGCCTCAACATTGGATAGGTCGCACAAGACCCCAAGACTTGGCGCTACACTCTTGGCTTCCAAGATCCCCAGACATCACACCCTGCGACTTTTTCTTGTGGGGATACGTCAAAGACTGTGTTTTTGTGCCAACGTTAGCGACTAATCTAGATGACCTCAAAAACAGAATCACGGCAGCGGTGACTACAGTGGAAGAAGACACTTTGAGAGGCGTTTGAGATTAATTCAACTATCGTCTCGATGTTGTCCATACAGCAGGTGGAGGGCACATAGAGCATTTATAAAATGGTTAGTAAAACTTGATAACTCATTCAACAGTTTGTAACTTTTTGTGTAATTGTAAGATGTTGCCATCGTGAAATATACTGCTTTGAAATTGGGTCCCTCTTTTTGAAACACCCCGTAGAATCAACATCACACGTTTAGAGTATTTGGCTGCTCTAAATTTCCACGTGATACGCCACTTTGTTGAGGTATCATTTGTGATCGGCAGGTCACTTCTGAAAAAGAGCTATTTAGCCCGTTGAGCCTTACCTGGTAAAATAAAAATAGCTGTTAGTTTTTATTGTTTAGTCGACGGGAAGGTCGAGAAGAAGAGTACCAGTCGTCGAGCTGAGTGAAACCAAGGGCGTGAACCAGGAGTGTAGCAGCAGAGAGTGAGATGAGGGGACAGATGTTGCGAATGTTGCCAAGGTGACGGTGGCGAGTGCAGGTAGTGGCAGAGATACGGTTGGAGAAGGAGGAGTAGAAGATGACCCCGAGGTTGTGAGCAGAAGAGACAGGAGTGACTGAGTGAGTGAGGGAGAAGGGAGGGAATGAGGCCAGGGTGGAGGGGAGCATGGATAAAGAGAAGAAAAGGATTTGAGTTGTAGAAAAGATTCATGGAGGGGTAGCGGCGTCACGTCCAGGATTGGACAGTGGTTCAGCAGTCAGAAATGCGGGAGGCAAGGGGGATGAAAGAGGGAAAGGAAAAGAAGATCCGGCTCTACCGTGGTAGATTTCCCCTCAGGTGCATTTCCCACCTTTGGCTGCCAATCCTTCATGAGTGCTGACCACCGGCCATCTTCCCCTTTGCTTCTGTGTCCTGCCCAAGCCCGCTTACTTTTACTTTATGGTAAGTAAAAAAAAAATGCCTTTTCATCTCAGAATCAGAAACTTTATCTGAATCTTTATCTATCCTGGAGGAATCCCGATGAGCTGTGAAGCTCTTTTTCACATATGTCCAGTCAGGGCGGGTCAAATAGTTACAACAATAAACAATAAAAATAATAATATAGGAGTGCGCAAAGTAGAGAAAATCTAAGCAAGTCGCGCAACATAAATATATATAAAAAAGGGAAATTTGTGAATGTGTGACTGTTCGAATGTTTAGCATACTTCCCGACATGAAACAAACTTGAAATTTGGCATGTGGGTAGCTTCCAGACTCTACACAATGCAAAAAGTATAAAAATAGACATGTATTTGGGGGGGGGGGGGGGGCAATAATGGATATATTTTGTACGGCAAGTGAGCGGTGGCGTCACATCTGTGATATCACCCGCATGCGGTAGCGTTACGCAGTGTGCCTACTGACGTCACGCGTCCCCCCCCCCCCTTAACCCTTCGCATAGACCGTGTATTAATCCAAGACAAGAATCCAAGTCTCAGGTGAAGCTGGGTAGTAAAGCTAGTGTAAAAATAAATAAAATATTCCAGGACAAATTGCATTAGTACATGGATAGTGATTCCAACTGAGTCGCAGACGTTCTTTAGAGGCAACACATTTATTGTAACATCAACACCTAACACAAAGGGGTAACTGCCCCTTCACAAGATACAGCCTAGGGTGGTGACGACCCAGCTAACTACTCTATACGTAGGTGTTACAGCTACGAAGGGTTAGACCCTCACTTCGGTCACGACCACGTATTGATGCCTCGTAGGACGTAGAGCTTCCAGCTTGTCGACGTGGAGCTTCAGCTTGTAGGATTCAGCGACCCCGGTCCCTCTCAGGGACCCACCTTATATCCTCCTGGGTCGGGACCGCTCCGCCCTTGGCCCCGCTTGCCTTCGCGAGCCTTATAGCTCCCTCTCGATCCCTCTCGAGAGCTCTCCCCGGATACGTGATATCCCCCTAGCCCCCCCCCACCTGGGCCCCCCTCTGTGGACACTCCGGATCACGTGTGTACGAGGTCAACCAGAGTGCCATGGCTCGGGGCAACCCTACCCCTGGGGTGACACTCTCCCACTCCCCCTTGTGGGAGCCCGCATTACACGGTATGCGTGGTGCCCGCGCTATCCCAGCGCACACCAAGCCCATCTAGGGCTGGTACTACACCCGCCTACGGGTGTACGCAATGACAATGCATCGCGTGCCACGGCCCTCTCGGGCCGGCACCATACAGTGACATCCCCGATGTCACTACACATGCATTCCTGCCGATTTTTCAACGCTAAATGCAAGCTTGGGACAAGGCAACAATATAATCAGTCCCAGACCGCACCAAGACAACACCCAGTCGTCCCTGAATAAAATTGCACATTAACATTGATCTATCGATATACGGGTAAGGATCAAAGTTACAATTCACATTGGGAAATGTGTTTGTATCTAGCACCAATCTTCTACTTCAGGATATTTTTTTGAAGATTGATTTACAATGTTAAGGGGAGGAAACAAGGTCGCTCCAAAACGATGGTGCTGCAATGGAAAAGGCTTTGTCACCTATTCCAGTTCTTGTTCTAGGGATAATAAAAAGGCAGTTATATGGACATCGTTGGTTTCTCAGGTTTGACAATGAGATGAATGCATTGGCAAATTAAAGTGCGGATTTTGCCTATAAAGATATTATGGATGAACAGGGCCCGATGTAAATGTATTTTTGCACCAAAGTGATGTGAGATTGAAAAATACATCACTTGGCGATGTGCTGCTCATTCTGTCTCAGCATAATGCCAAGTGTGCACCTCTCCAAACTTAATTCCACACTTTTTATCTCTTTTTTATCTCTGTTGTCAATGTCCATGTTTCGATCCACATGTCATAGCAGGTAGCAATGGATTAATTAAAAAACATCTTCACAGAGCATTGTGGAATCCACTTATGTGCATGATTTGTCTTCCTTTGTTATGAATGCACAGTTAATATTCAACTAAAGGATCGTCATTTTATTGACCTGTACACAATTTACAATTTACTTTTTCATTTGTATTCATAGTTAAAAAATGGGGGGAAAGTGTATTAGCTAAATTAATTTTTGCGCCCTGATCTTCCTGTAGGTTTGAAGCACTGCCGTTGGATAGCCGCGCTTGGGATTTAAACTTTTTTGTTGGGGGCCCTGTGTGGTCCCTGGACTGGAGTCCCACGCCCAATGGCTCGCTGTCCAATCAGCACGTGGCACTCTACGCCAACAGCAGTGCCCTGGATCTGCACAAACTCAATCAGATCCACAGAGAGCTGGCCCTACTGCAGGTGTGGAATTTGGGACCGTTGCAAAGTACAAAGAGGTAACGCGTCACGCGTGTCTTACATATGATTTGTTCTGGCAGTGTTGTCTGAGCTGGTAAGATGCGTGTGGTTTTTCATCTTTTCAAGGTGCTTAAGTTGAGCATACGCTTAGCAGCTAGTTCCCAGACGGTATCCAAACCAACAAAACAATTTCCAGTAGTCTGAAATGACCTGAGATGGCTGGTCAAGCCCAAGCAGCAACATCACCACACAAGCCATGGTGACATCACCCAGAATTAGTGGTGAATGGTGGTGGTTGTTTTTTGTTGTTGTTTGTTGTATGTGTGCATATGATTTCACTTCACACTCATCAGTGCAGATTTGTGAAAGTTGAGAGCCTGGACTGGGTTTAGCTATTAGCTGTCTCAGGGAATAGAAATTTGATCAGTCACGACAAGTCACACAAGGTTGGTTGCATAAGACGACCTGCTAAATATACATTTTCCTCGCTTTTCATTCTAAATCAATGTAAACTCAGCAACATTTTCTCCAAAGATGTTTATACAACCAGCCACAGACCATGGAATATAGCCGTGGTTTCATATCGATGGTAATATCAAATTAAAATTGTATGTCAAGGTCAGGTAAAGTCAACATCTGAATTCCAAGATCCATGTATGCAGTATCCTGACAACTAGCGTGTGTGTATTAGAATAAGATGATGTATGAGAAATCCGATGAGCTATGAAGCTTTTTTCACAGATATCTGGTGCGAAAAAAGTTCCACATGCATACATTCTGAAGGTGTGGGCATTGATACTAAATCAGCCAAAACTAAAACGACTCATTGGAGATTTCCAGGGTAGCAGAATAAATGTGCCAGGCCATTCTGCGTGGCTCCCTTATTTGCCTTCAAGCCTTGTTGGAAATCCAATTATCGTTCACCGCAAGCAACTATGCACGGTGTTTATGTTAAGCGCGTGTGGGCGGGAAATGGTCGTTTCTTTTTTTAACGCTGAAAATAAAATACAAACCACGCTTTGATCTGAAAGCGTACAAATCTAGACTTTAGCACATCACGGTGCATTTAGTTCGCTTGGAATCTCAGCGGTTGTGTGTCGTTTTCTATTTTCAGGTCACTTTTCCAACCAGCACTGGCGTATGGAGTGGCACTTGATTTTGGATGCATATGGGATATGAAGTTCTGCCCAAGTGGGTCATGGGAAGATCCCACTGCCCCTGTGAAGGTATGAGATTACCTTGAACACGTATTAGGAGGCTTTCACGGCCAATATTATCCATAATAGAGATTTTTGGGTTAGATTGCGTAAATATAAATGTGTCGTTAAACCCGTCACCACCTGACAACAGCTAATTAGTAAGGTTTGTCACGTAAACAATACGTGCGAATTAGTGTTGGAGAGTAAATCCCACAACATTTACAATTCTGGCTGTCAAACCTGACTAATTGGCTGACAGGTAGTGGCGGGTTTAACGACATATTTTTTATTTACGCCATCTAACCCAAAAATACCTTGATTATGGATGAGATTACCTCTGTTTGCAGTTAGAAGAATCCGTGCTGTATACAAACATACACCTATTAGCACAGTTGGCTACGTACGGTGCAAAAGAAGTTCAACATACGTACAGGAGATCGGAGTGCGGTGACGTATGACGGACTGTTGGCGGGTTGACGGGGCGTAGGGATGAGTGCTGTTAGTGAGCACCCAAAGGCCGGTGTGGCCAGGAACCACAACGTACGGCAGAAATATGTGTTTGGTTTTAATCACAGCCAGTAAATGCACATCTGAAGAGATGTCACCAGTGTTGAGTATCATTACAGTAGAACTGCTTTTGTTCCATCATCATCCTCCTATTCACAGAACCTGTTATCTGTAGATGCCAGGTGATATGTGAATCGCCTGGCCTCTGCAAATCCTCTCATAATTTTTTGTGGATCCCTAAAAAGATTAGTAAAAAAATTTGTATGCTGGAAAACTTAATTTGAGCTCTCATTGTGGAGTTGCCACTCCTAAGCGTGGACTATGCCTTGAAAAGTTGGTAACGCAGAGAGTTGTTAGTCAATCAATCCACAGCCCTTTTTGCTGTGGTTCTGCGTTATTGAGGTGCAGGTGGCTCGCGTACGTTGTTTACCAGCGTTGTGTAAAGCGTGGCATCCCATGCTCGTCTTTACCGATGTGCAGGTGCCGCGAATGGCGCGAATGGGGCTTCTAGCCGCGGCTTTTTCGGACGGCAAGGTGCGAGTGTTCTCGCTGCCGCATGCGGAGGACTTGCCTCAGGCCCAGCTCGCCGACGCTGAAGGTGACGCTCTGTCCGCACCTATAGCGTTACTGACGAGCTCTATCGGGAAGCTCTACCAACGAGCGTTATTGACGAGCTCTACTGACTTAGCTCAACCTAGTAGCTCTACCTATTGGCTCTACCTAGTAACTCTACCGACTAGCGCTACCAAGTAGCTCTACCTAGTAGCTCTACCTAGTTGCTCGACCTACTAGCTCTACCTAGTGGCTCTACCTACTAGCTCTACCTACTAGCTCGACCTACTAGCTCTACCTACTAGCTCTACCTACCAGCTCTACCTAGTAGCTCTATCGACTAGCTCTACCTACTAGCTCTGCCGACTAGCTCTACCTACTAGCTCTACCTACTAGCTCTACCGACTAGCTCTACCTAGTAACTCTACCTAGTAGCTCTACCTGCTAGCTCTAACTAGTAGCTCTACCTAGTAACTCTACCTAGTAGCTCTACCTACTAGCTCTACCGACTAGCTCTACCTACTAGCTCTACCTAGTAGCGCTACCGACTAGCTCTACCTAGTAGCTCTACCTGCTAGCTCTACCTGCTAGCTCTACCTAGTAGCTCTACCTAGTAGCTCTACCTACTAGCTCAACCGACTAGCTTTACCTTGTAACTCTACTTAGTAGCTCTACCTACTAGCTCTACCTAGTAGCACTATCTACTAGCTCTACCTACTAGCTCTACCTACTTGCTCTACCTACTAGCTCTACCTACTACCTCTACCTAGTAGCTCTACCTACTAGCTCTACCTAGTAGAACTACCTACTAGCTCTACCTACTTGCTCTACATACTAGCTCTACCTACTAGCTCTACCTAGTAGCTCTACCTACTAGCTCTACCTAGTAGATCTACCGACTAGCTCTACCTACTAGCTCTACCGACTAGCCCTACCTAGTAGCTCTACCTACTAGCTCTAGCTACTTGCTCTACCTACTAGCTCTACCTACTAGCTCTACCTAGTAGCTCTACCTACTAGCTCTACCTACTAGCTCTACCTGCTAGCTCTAACTAGTAGCTCTACCTAGTAGCTCTACCTAGTAGCTCTATCGACTAGCTCTACCGACTAGCTCTACCTACTAGCTCTACCGACTAGCTCTACCTAGTAACTCTACCTAGTACCTCTACCTGCTAGCTCTAACTAGTAGCTCTACCTAGTAACTCTACCTAGTAGCTCTACCTACTAGCTCTACCTACTACCTCTACCTAGTAGATCTACCGACTAGCTCTACCTAGTAGATCTACCGACTAGCTCTACCTACTAGCTCTACCTTGTAACTCTACATACTAGCTCTACCTACTAGCTCTACCTACTAACTCTACCTAATAGCTCTACCTACTCGCTCTACCTACTAGCTCTACCAAGTAGCTTTACCTAGTAACTCTACCTACTAGCTCTACCTACTATCTCTACCTAGTAGATCTACCGACTAGCTCTACCTACTAGCTCTACCTACTACCTCTACCTAGTAGATCTACCGACTAGCTCTACCTACTAGCTCTACCTAGTAGCTCTACCTAGTAGCTCTACCTAGTAGATCTACCGACTAGCTCTACCTACTAGCTCTACCTAGTAGCTCTACCTAGTAGCTCTATCGACTAGCTCTACCTACTAGCTCTACAGACTAGCTCTACCGACTAGCTCTACCTAGTAACTCTACCTAGTAGCTCTATCTAGTAACTCTACTAACTAGCTGTACTTAGTAGCTCTACCGACTAGCTCTACCTAGTGACTCTACTGACTAGCTCTACCTACTAGCTCTGCCTGCTAGCTCTACCTACTAGCTCTACCGACTAGCTTTACCTACTAGCTCTAACCACTAGCTCTACCTAGTAGCTCTACCTAGTAACTCTACTGACTAGCTCTACCTAGTAGCTCTACCTAGTACCTCTATCGACTAGGTCTACCTGCTAGCTCTACCAAATAGCTCTACCTACTAGCTCTACCGACTAGCTCTACCTAGTAACTCTACCTAGTAACTCTACCTACTAGCTCTACCTACTAGCTCTACCTAGTAGCTCTACCTCCTCGCTCTAACCTACTAGATCTACCGACTAGCTTTACCTAGTAGCTCTACCTACTAGCTCTACCTAGTAGATCTACCTACTAGCTCTACCTACTAGCTCTACCGACTAGCTCTACCTAGTAGCTCTACCTACTACCTCTACCTAATAGCTCTACCTACTAGCTCTACCTAGTAGATCTACCTACTAGCTCTACCTACTAGCTCTACCTATTAGCTCTACCTAGTAGCTCTACCTGCTAGATCTAACTAGTAGCTCTACCTAGTAACTGTACCTAGTACATCTACCGACTAGCTCTACGTACTAGCTCTACCTAGTAGCTCTACCTAGTAGCTCTACCTAGTAGATATACCGACTAGCTCTACCTACTAGCTCTACCTAGTAGCTCTACCTAGTAGCTCTATCGACTAGCTCTACCTACTAGCTCTACCGACTAGCTCTACCTACTAGCTCTACCGACTAGCTCTACCTAATAACTCTACCTAGTAGCTCTACCTAGTGACTCTACTGACTAGCTCTACCTACTAGCTCTGCCTGCTAGCTCTACCTACTAGCTCTACCGACTAGCTTTACCTACTAGCTCTAACTACTAGCTCTACCTAGTAGCTCTACCTAGTAACTCTACTTAGACTAGCTCTACCTACTAGCTCTACCTTAGTAGCTCCACCTAGTAGCTCTACCTACTAGCCCTACCTACTAGCTCTAATTACTAGCTCTACCTAGTAGCTCTACCTAGTAGCTCTACTTACTAGCTCTACCTACGAGCTCTATCTAGTAGCTCTACTTAGTAGCTCTACCTACTAGCTCTACCTTAGTAGCTCCACCTAGTAGCTCTACCTACTAGCCCTACCTACTAGCTCTACCTACTAGCTCTACCTACTAGCTTTACCTAGTAGCTCTACTGACTAGCTCTACCTACTAGCTCTAATTACTAGCTCTACCTAGTAGCTCTACCTAGTAGCTCTACTTACTAGCTCTACCTACGAGCTCTATCTAGTAGCTCTACCTAGTAGCTCTACCTAGTAGCTCTACCTACTAGCTCTACCTACTAGCTCTACCTTAGTAGCTCCACCTAGTAGCTCTACCTACTAGCCCTACCTACTAGCTCTACCTACTAGCTCTACCTACTAGCTTTACCTAGTAGCTCTACTGACTAGGTCTACCTACTAGCTCTAATTACTAGCTCTACCTAGTAGCTCTACCTAGTAGGTCTACTTACTAGCTCTACCTACGAGCTCTACCTAGTAGCTCTACCTACTAGCTCTACCTAGTAGATGTACCTACTAGCTCTACCTAGTAGCTCTACCTACTAGCTCTTCCTACTAGCTCTAACTACTAGCTCTACCTACTAGCTCTACCTAGTAGCTCTACCTGGTAGCTCTACCTAGTAGCTCTACCTAGTAGCTCTACCTACTAGCTCTACCTACTAGCTCTACATACTAACTCTACCTAGTAGCTCTACCTACTAGCTCTACCAACTAGCTCTACCGACTAGCTCTACCTAGTAGCTCTACCTTGTAGCTCTAGCTACTAGCTCTACCTACTAGCTCTACCTAGTAGCTCTACCTAGTAGCTCCACCTACTAGCTCTACCTACTAGCTCTACCTACTAGCTCTACCTCGTAGCTCTACCTACTACCTCTACCTACTAGCTCTACGTAGTACATCTGCTTACTAGCTCTACCTAGTAGATCTACCGACTAGCTCTACCTACTAGCTATACCTTGTAACTCTACATACTAGCTCTACCTAATAGCTCTACCTACTCGCTCTACCTACTAGCTCTACCAAGTAGCTTTACCTAGTAACTCTACCTAGTAGCTCTACCTACTATCTCTACCTAGTAGTTCTACTGACTAGCTCTACCTACTACCTCTACCTAGTAGATCTACCGACTAGCTCTACCTACTAGCTCTACCTAGTAGCTCTACATAAGTAGCTCTATCGACTAGCTCTACCTACTAGCTCTACCGACTAGCTCTACCTACTAGCTCTACCGACTAGCTCTACCTAGTAACTCTACCTAGTAGCTCTACCTACTAGCTCTACCTACTAGCTCAACCGACTTGCTTTAACTAGTAACTCTACCTAGTAGCTCTACCTACTAACTCTACCTAATAGCTCTACCTACTCGCTCTACCTACTAGCTCTACCAACTAGCTTTACCTAGTAACTCTACCTAGTAGCTCTGCCTACTATCTCTACCTAGTAGATCTACCGACTAGCTCTACCTACTAGCTCTACCTACTTCCTCTAGCTAGTAGATCTACCGACTAGCTCTACCTAGTAACTCTACCTAGTAGCTCTACCTACTAGCTCTACCTACTAGCTCAACCGACTAGCTTTAACTAGTAACTCTACCTAGTAGCTCTACCTACTAACTCTACCTAATAGCTCTACCTACTCGCTCTACCTACTAGCTCTCCCAACTAGCTTTACCTAGTAACTCTACCTAGTAGCTCTGCCTACTATCTCTACCTAGTAGATCTACCGACTAGCTCTACCTACTAGCTCTACCTACTACCTCTACCTAGTAGATCTACCGACTAGCTCTACCTAGTAGATCTACAGACTAGCTCTACCTACTAGCTCTACCTTGTAACTCTACATACTAGCTCTACCTACTAGCTCTACCTACTAACTCTACCTAATAGCTCTACCTACTCGCTCTACCTACTAGCTCTACCAAGTAGCTTTACCTAGTAACTCTACCTACTAGCTCTACCTACTATCTCTACCTAGTAGATCTACCGACTAGCTCTACCTACTAGCTCTACCTACTACCTCTACCTAGTAGATCTACCGACTAGCTCTACCTACTAGCTCTACCTAGTAGCTCTACCTAGTAGCTCTACCTAGTAGATCTACCGACTAGCTCTACCTACTAGCTCTACCTAGTAGCTCTACCTAGTAGCTCTATCGACTAGCTCTACCTACTAGCTCTACCGACTAGCTCTACCGACTAGCTCTACCTAGTAACT